AGGAGAGGGGGCCAGCTAAGGTAAACCTACCCGGAGCAAACGCGGGATCTAGTACATCGATGTCAATACTCATGTAGACTGGCTGATCTTTGGGGATATGCTGATGAATGCGATCGACGATGCCGGCCGCGCCAATGGTGTCCACCTCGTCGGCGGCAATGCGCAGAAAACCCTGCTTGTCGTCGTCCTCTAGGTCCTGGAAGGAATTCCCACTTAGACGGGTGTTGATACCGGCGTGTAGTGATGAGGAGTTTGAGATTAGGCCCTCCTTCATGGCATTCCAGAAGACAGAGCCGTGGTTGAATTGAGATTGCATGGAAGTCCAAGCCGAGGGGTACCGATCGGGATGCAGCGAGTCAAGGTGAGAATCGAAATGCAAGAGAGCCACGGGCTCACCGTACTGTTCACGAAGCGCTCGGAGGGCGGGAAGCGCCACGAGATGATCTCCACCGAGGGTGATGAGCTTGGGCTTGCCCGTCCCAGTGGTTGTCCTCCGAGAGCCCAGCTCCCGGTAGGCCTCGGTCATTTGATGGACGGCGACGGCGTTGTCAAATGGAGTGACGGGGATATCTCCACAGTCTAGCACACGTGCCCATGACTGATACGGATTGATTTGGGCTGCGGCATGAAAAGCGCGCGATGGGATATGGCGAGCAGAGGCGGTGCGAATGGCACGCGGGCCCATACGCGCACCTAACAAGGTAGGGAAAAAATCAATATCAGACGGTGTTCATCAATAATAGTGAATGCTACAACAAGGGCAAAATTTACCAGGTCGATAGCTCACGGCCGTGTCGAATGGCGTGCCAATGATCCCTATGTCAAATGGCGTGTCGGGATTGGTGAGACAATGGACATGCTCCAAGTGCCCGAAAGTAGTAATGCCAGAAAATGCCCACTAAACAAAGGTTTTATTAATAAACAAAATTAAGCTCATCTCCGTCGATCACAATTTTGCTTGGAATTGTGCCTCGATGGCCTTTAACTTACATCCTCACCCCAACGTTCCTTGAGCTCCTGCACGTGAGCCGGAGATGCTTGGGTGGCGGAGGCGCCTCCAACAAGACCCCCAAAAATGGAGCACCACAGAGAGTAACGCATTATTGGGACCAAAGTATTTTGGTGGGTGACAACAACAACAATGTGTAGGGTGGTAATTGGAGAACAGGTGGGGAGGGAGGGACGCGTAGGGTTTGGGTGGTTTGGCCAATCGATTTATAGCGACATACCTCGCCCTCCCCGAATGCGTCTCCAGCCTCGAGGGCCTCCATACCCGGCCCGCCCGATGACGCCCTTGCATGCACGGGGCCGTCATAGATCGCCCACCGACCAATTAATGGTCGGAGGCCCCCGGGGTGTGCATCTGCCTCCTGCACCTTTCGGAGACACTAGGAGGGTCCCGTTTACAAATCGACTCCGGGCACCCTCCCTTGCTTGCTAGCCTTCGTGAATGCGCTCTCCTCCTCCCGCCTCTTGCCCGTTCTCCATCCTTCCTCCATCTCCGGTTTGCTTTGGTTCTTTGGCTTTCTTCGATGCTTCGCAACTAGTCTTTCAAAAGTCCTTTTCGTCACGGTGGCTGTACAACCCGCCCTTTTCCCTATTGTTACGTCTTCACGGGATACCTCCCGTACCACCTAGCTAGGATGGGCGACATATACTCGGAAGCCGAGTTGGAGCGACTCGGTCGCATGAGGCCGACCATCTTTCCCAATTTCCTATCAGAACTTGGGTTTTGCTTTTCCCTCGTGCTCTCGCAAATTATGGCGGTAAGCTTCATTACAATATCCCCTGTTTAGTCGGTGTAGACAGCCGTCTTGGGCGGACCTCTGGGCTAACCTTCATCAGGAATACTTTATCTCCGGTTTCAATGTTCTGTTGCCCTCTTTGGCCGAGGGACTGGACATTCCGGAAGCCTCATCTAGCTGGCCGTCGAGTGCTTTTGCCCTGACGGCGGGTGGCTCGTTGCTCTTCTTCGGCCGTCTGGCCGATCGCTATGGAGGGTTTGTGGTCTTCGCAGGAGGCTTGGCCTGGCATCTGGTCTGGTCGCTTGTGGCCGGTTTTGCGAAGAACGCCCTTATGATGTATTTCTGTCGAGCGCTACAGGGCTTTGGCCCTGCTGCTTTTCTCTCAGCAGGGATCATGCTCTTGGGCACTACCTATCGACCGGGATGGCGGAAAAACTTAGTATTCAGCATCTACGGCGCCTGCGCTCCCATCGGCTTTGTTGCTGGGATTTTCGTGTCCGGAATGACCGGGCAATTTCTTGACTGGCGCTGGTACTTCTGGATCGGGACTATGCTGCTCTTCCTTGCCCTGATTGCAGCTGTCCTCTCTGTCCCAGCCAGCATCCGCCGCAAGCCTCCGCATCCTGACATGCCTATCGATTGGGCTGGCGCCGGTCTTTTCTTCTGCAGTCTTGTGCTGATCTTTTTTGCTATTAACGATTGCGGTCATGCACCCGACGGCTGGCGCACTCCCTACGTGTATGTCACGTTGATTGTGGGCTTTTTTCTGCTGCTGGCTGCACTGTATGTCGAAGGTTGGGTGGCCAAGGAGCCGCTGCTTCCTCTTAGCCTCTTCCGCATCCCCCAGTTATCGTCCCTCCTCCTCGGCCTGTTCTGTTTCTACGGCGTGTTTGGAATCTGGCTGCTGTACTGTGTGGAGTACATGGAGAACATCATGCATGCCTCGCCGCTGCTCGTGGTGGCGTACTTTGTACCTTTCGCGCTGGGTGGCATCTTCTTCAGTCTGATTGGGGGCTTATTCTTGCATGTTCTTCCGGGTACGGTTCTTCTGGTAATCTCCGGGATTGGATGGCTAATGGCACCACTGCTGTTCGCCATCATGCCGCTCGGGGCTAGCTACTGGCCGTATGTGTTCCCGGCTATGATCTGCGGCACCTTGGGCATGGATGTCACCTACAATGTCACCAATATCTTCGTGACCACCTCTCTTCCCGAGCGACAGCAAGGGCTGGCCGCCGCCGTCGCCAACAGCGTTCTATTCCTGGGCATCAGTTTCTGGCTGGGGTGGGGTGACTTTACCTCAGCGCAGGTCCATGGAGACTTGCGCGCGAGATACCAGGCCGCACTCTGGATGGCAGTGGGGCTGGCTGGGTTGGGACTGATAATCATGGTGCTCTTTGTGAAGATCAAGCCCGCCAAGAGTGAAGTGACTGTGGATGAGAAGGAAGGGGGCTCGGCAGGCTCGGGAGGCTCGGGGGACACGGAGTTAATGCCGAAGCAGGAAACAGACATTGGAGTAAATGGACGGGATGGGAATGACCTGCAATAACTGTGACAGGACTCATCCATTCTGACTATCAGCTGTGGTTGACTTGAATACGTCAATCATTATTTCACCATCAGAATATTTATTCCGGATATTAGGCCCCGATGGAAAGGTCTTGTATTGGAAGAGATATAGAACCCTCTTGGGATATTTACATAGATATTATCTACCTCCCACTCTTTGGAAGGTTTTACCGAACTTTAATACACCTTGGCATGTATTCTTGTACACTGCGTATGGGAATCTGGAAACATAAAACCATATACCACAGAAGGCTGTGTATTGATTAGATGAGCATTTGAGAAACTGAACAACAAGAAAGTATCTGTGATACGGATACATATATATTGTAGGAAAATACAAATCTAACTAAATGGCATTATCATCCATGTGAATTGATTAGGATGGTATTAATGTATCTATGGACACTCATCATTCTATATAATTCCACTACTGACATATGCTGACAGCAAATGTTTCCATGAATCATATTTAGATAACTACTCATTTGACAGAGCCTTAGAATTCATTATGCTCTGGGCAACTTATAAAGTTTGCATAGATCACTGCAGCCAGTCGGCATGCTTCTCTCAGTCATATGGAGTTCATGATATATATACGGGCAGGGTATTGGGAGCCTGCAGTAGCAATATCTGCTCGGTAGCGCCAACACTTCGTATCTTAGCCCCTTTAGATTCTCAAGGAGGTTTGGGGAATGATAATTCGACTAGGCATTCCAGGGATACATACAAGCTTATAATTCTTCTTTTTGAAGAAAAGCATAACCGCTAACATCATAAAAGCCTCGGCCACAATTTATATTCGATAGTTGAGATAATAAACTACTACATCGAAACTCAGGAAAAAAGTCTTCGGAATACAACAGTTTTACGTACTACAAGGAACTAGATATAAGCTGAGGTGAAATATGTTTTGGTCGCTCTCTAGGTGCGCTTTGAGAGATGGAGCGCTTGCCTTTCAGCCCATTCGGCAAGAAACCACATATACACTTAACTTGTACGCTTGCTCCTAGGGCCCTTTCCACCAGATGCTTAGGGCCCGTCAAGAAGTAGGGTAGATACATATACAGTTAGGGTTTTGTAATAACTGATATCTTGCAGCTCCACGAGTATGTCCACTCTATGGTACCTACTTACTACTCGGATGGGCGACCGGGCGGCTGAGTGGGCAATCGAGTCAGGCGGAACTACGTGGCGTTGCATTAGACGCGATTGCCGGCAGATATAAAAGACCATAACATTATGATATATTAAATCACAAGCGTCTATTTTATTGCCACTTGCTATTATTCCTATTACTAAAGAATACTACGAGTGCTGCTGCCAACATACCAGGGTCCGCAAGGGATTTCCCTGACTAAGAGACACGGTGAAGAATGCTGTGTCCGTGCTGCACATCTCGGTCTGACACGGATGGCGAAGATCATCCCCCCCACAATGAATTGCTTAGCATCTGCAGGGCTCGGAGTGGGGCCGGATTTGAACACAGTGCTCATCCTCTCATTAACCACTGCAAGGGAGTAAGAGAAAGGAGTTCGGTCTTTTCCGTAGGAGGGGAAGGTAGACCGCGGACGTACCGAATAACCAACACATAAAGTATTGTTTGAAATGTGGCAGGCATCATCTCAACACAATTCCCTCCCAAACAAACACTTCCATCTATCCATCCCTTGCAAACCCACCACCACCATGACCAACACTCAGTTCGGCGAAGAATGCGACATTGTCGCCGTCCTTACCCCTAAGCCGGGCAAGTTGGACCGAGTGCGTTACCCCTCATGGTGTCGGCAGGCATTTGGTCTGGTACCCTATGTCTTCTCAATTTACTGACCTAATCTTGAACGTAGGTGGCTGAGCTCCTTACCAAGCTCACCGCATGTGTCAAGAAGAATGAACCCGGGGTTTTGAGCTTCCACTTGTACAAGGACTTTGACCGGGAGACCGGTCAAGAGGAGCTGGTTTTGGTCGAGAAGTAGGATTCTCTCCATCTCTTCGCATTGAGTGACCCGGTCGCACCCATGCTGACTCTGCTAGATACGTCAACAAAGAGGCGTATGATCTCCACGCTGAACTACCCGACTTCCAAGCCATGCATGCTACCTTTCGCGCTGAGGAGCTCATGGCCAAACCCATCTTGATTAAGAGTGTGAAACCATTGGTGGGGTTTGAGCGGAGCTAGATAAATGGCTGCCGCTTATGCATAGTTCGGAGGGGGTCTCCGGCAGTAGTATGGAGGTAGATAGATATAAATACTATCACCCACTTCCCATAGATTTTGAATATCGTGTAGAAAAAGCTCCGGACACTAGCTACCCTCAATCCTCGTTCTGCATTTCTACATCATATTCCAATTTCAATACCGAATAGTGGACTTTCTGTGAAAAGCAGAGTCACAACCATGAACATCCGCACAGTCGTTGAAGCATTCTGCGCCGACTTCGCTAATGGAACCCACCCTACCACCATCCTCGACACGCGCTTCACTAGCAATCCTGAAATCTACGAGTACGGTCCCGACTGGGCGCGATCCCGACTTCCCTACCTGGGACGGTCATGGACTGGAAGACGATCTTCATCTACACCGTCGTCCGAGGAAGACACCACCTGTGACGCCTACTTCGACGTTCTTGGACAGACGCTCTTCTTCGAGCCAGACAACCGAGAGCCTACGTCGCCGCCCGATCAGTTCTTGGTCTCAGCATCAAATGGAAATGACGACGCTGTCATGGTCAAACTGACTTCCACGGTGGGAAGCGTCGCAACTGGGAAGAAGTGGGTGGAGACATTTGTATTCTTGTTTGGGAGGTTCGATGCGCAGGGTAAAATCGGCAAGTTGGAGATCTGGTCGGATTCGTTGAGCGCTTGGGTCAATTCTGAGTAAATGCCTTCCTTGTGCACTTCTTTGAGATATGTCACTATGGCTTCAATGGGCTTAATTTATGCAGTTCATAGGCACCGTCATCAACTCTAGAAACACATCATATTTTGAGATATTTACTCCAACTAGGGTCAGCTGATTCCTCGCCTCTTCTTACTGAGTGGTCTCCGACCACCAGCTCTTCCAACCACCAACGATCTTTATTGAGACCAGGTAGTTCGAATGCACATACGTTTTTCTCTACGTCTTGACATCATACTGGATCCGAACAGTTTGAGGCATCATGTTTGATAGAGGGTACAGGGTCACACTGCTCAGTTGAATTTTACGCCCTCGAACGCAACCGTTAACTGATTCCCCCTTGGTCCCGAAATGAAGCCGTCCTCCTGCTCAATTCCCTCGTCATTTACAATATGTGTGCGGAAGTTGGCGTAGATAGCTGCCACCACATATTTCAACACTGAAGCAGAAGAGTTAGCCAAGGGAACAGCGGTAGCGGCAGCGGTAACACTTACAGTACAATGCCAAATTACTGCCAATACACATGCGCGACCCACTGGAGAATGCCCAGAACCAGCGCTCCTTCTTATCAGCGCCTTCCAGAGTTTCTGACAGCCAACGCTCTGGATGCCATTCATCTGGGCGTGGGAATACTGCGGGATTGCGATGCAGGCTCCACGCAGCCGCACTTACGCGTACTCCTCCGGGTATGTTTTCATACGGACCCAGCGTGGTTTGGTTATTCGCCGGCGTAATCCGTGGCTGGCTGCCGGCCACCGGGGCGTGTAGTCGCAGGGTCTCCATAATAACTGCATTCAAGTAAGGCAGCTCGTCCACATCCTTTGCCTTGGGCAGCGTGTCATCCCCCGCCTTCGAGGCGGACCATGCAAATGCTTCGGGACCCAGCTTGCTGCGCAACTCGTCCTGAAGACGCGCCAGTGCCACTGAGTTCTGCGACAGCTGCCACGTCACATACAGCAGCGTCGTTGCCACGGTGCCATTGTTAGCAATAAGTTGATCTAGCAACTCGCTGGTAACCTGCAATTGCTGCGGGGACCGCGGTGTCCGGAGAGTCTGTGCTGCATTTACCTTCATGCCGGCAGAGACATCGTCACCGATCATGGGATTCTGGGTGATACTGGGTGTGGTAGACACGCCCTCTTTCTCGGTGCTCTGACGGAGTCTCTCGTATACTACCGGAAGGTGGCCCGGCTCCAAGGAGGACCCGCCTGCCTTTTTGGCTAGCATGATTTCTGCGCCATCACTCATGTTGAGACACCAAGCAGCGATCTGATCATGTGCAAGATGTCGTGCCTGGGGAACAGGGGAGATTCCAAGTTTCTCCAGCCATGCAGTGAGACCGGGCAACTCCTGCAGCCAGAATAGCGACACCGGGTGTTGGTCGTCCAAATACAGGTTTTGCCAACGGGCGGCAGCTGTCAGGTCAGCTACAAACTGGGTGCCGGCCGACAGACCGAAGAAGTATGAAGTAGTCAGATCCATGGCGGTTGCTTTGTAAATGGGATAAATATCCATTGGCTTCTTGGCGTTGGCATGGTTGGCGAACTGCGGGAGAAGTCGACGTTGCACTACCTCCTGGATTATGGCCGTCGCGTCGGGTGAGGCTTGTAAGAACGATTTGGAATAGATGTTCGAAATACGCTTCTTCCGCATCGCATGTTCAGGGGAGTGTAAGGAGGAGAACATATTCAGCGCTCTGCGGAGAAGAATAAGTTAGCAGCGCAACGATACTAGGACAGCAAATCAACGTACCCATAGTTGACGAAGACGGTATAGAATGGCGGCTTCTCGAAACCCTTCCCGTACACTGTCTTGATGCCATCGTTCACACAATTAATGCTGACCTCGTTCGGCGCCAAACGGACGACCTCGCCATGCTGCTGATGTGCTTTGAGAACCGTGTTATTTTCACGAATCCGATATCTCGCCCACAAGATCCACAGGGACGTGTAAGGAGCCAATGGGTGAGCGTTAGGGATCTTCGCCAGTGGAGAAAGAAAGCTAGGGTAGATAATGAAATGGTACAGGAACAAGGCCACCAGGGCGATGCCTGCACACGCAGGGACGCTGGGCAAGATACTGGCTTCCATCGGTATAATTGTGCGAACAGGTGTAGGATGTAGGGGAGAACTAGCTAGTTATGGTGAAACTGTACTGCCATATGCTGTGATCAGAATTAAGAAGTAAGTTGGCAAATGAATATGCAGACGACATCACGCAAGCTGCCGGACATCGATATTATAGCGGCAGCACCTCTCGGAGGCCTCCGAGAGGTGCAGATTCATACCAAGATCGTCGTACAACGTACTGTCGGCTATATGCCGCCCCCGAGCATTTTGCGGCTAGCTGAAGTAATGCTAATGCTTTGCTGATCATTTGGTACCCCCAGCGTATTGGGGGAGGAGGTGGCTGTGCCTTGACATATGCTTCTGGTCAGGAGGAGGTGCTTTGATCAGCCCTAGGGCATTAAGCAAGAACAACCAGCCCTGGTGAAGTCAGTGTTGCGCGTTCAAAACACCAGGAAAGGAAAGCCAAATGCCTATCCTGACTTCTTACATTCCATTGAGAAAAACAACGCATCTTCAGCCAGAGGATGACTGTCGGAAGCTTCCGCGGTATGCAGTTCCACTACGAAAGCCACGCACCCTACGTCGCTGAGTGTGTGGAGATCTAGGATGTCAGTTCAGCTCCCATAGTCAATGTGATTGTTGCGTTACACAGTCGATGCTTAAAATGCCCCGTGTTGTGGACCAAGTTCCAGTCTTCGAGGACATGTCCAACTCAACTTCCCACGATTTCTCCGAGACCATCAACATCAACCCATAACCGGACTAAATCATGGCTGCTGGAACTGTTGCTACGCTGGACATGGCAAAGTTCTTCCTCGGGAGTGAGGAAGAACGAGTCCAGTTTTCTCGCGACTTATTGCAATGCTTTGCGAGCCAGGGGTTTGTTAAGCTGATCAATCATGGCGTCCCTAATGCTGCCATCGACAAGGCATTCGAATGGGTAAGAAATCCCTTTGATAAATTTGGGTTACTCACTACTGGAGAAGGTGGACTGATAGAACCGTGAGCAAAAAAGAACCGTTCCTTTTTCGAACTGCCCCAGGACATCAAGAAGAAGTATCCTCATCCACCCTGTGCCAACCCCAACCGCGGATGGGTCAGCCTCGGTCAAGAAAAGAGCTCGGCGATCAAAGACTTTGAGAAAGGGGTCTGTAAGGAGCACAAGGAGGTCTTTGATGTTAAGGTAGGTAGTATTTGATCTCCATCAACAATTTCCATCCGTCTTGGTTTGCTGACCCGCCGATTCGGTAAAAGGAGTCGTTTGACATCGGAAATCCCGAAGACCCGATGTACGACAACATATGGCCGGATGAGAGTGAGGCACCAGGCTTCCGCTCTTTCTTCGAGATCTTCTACGAACTTCTTCACGTGGCGCATTTGAACATTCTGAAGGCGCTGGAGATGGCCCTGAGCACCAAAGACCAGCCATTCGAGGTTATCAAGCACTGTATGCCCAATGTCAGCGAAATGCGCTTGAATTATTATCCCGCGGTTGATATCCGTGATCTGCGATCCGGCCACATGAGTCGCATTTCTGAGCACACGGACTTTGGGACCGTCACCCTACTCTTCCAAGACTCCGTCGGAGGACTGGAAGTTGAGGACCAGTCCAACTTGGGCACCTACTTCCCCGTGGAGTGCGAAAACAAACATGTCATGCTCGTCAATATTGGGGATAGTCTGCAGCGGCTAACGAATGATTACCTCACGTCGGTCAGCCATCGCGTGACCCTGCCCATCTCCGCGCGGGAGCGAGAGGAAGGACAGCTGAAGGAACGCATGTCCGTTACATACTTTGCCAAGGTGGCTCGCGATAACTCCATCTACCCCTTCGGGCAGTTTGTGTCCGAGACCAATCCGGCCAAGTATCCCCACATGACGGCGTATGAGTGGAACCAGATCAAGTTGGAAAAGATCTACGGAGCCTGTTAGATGGAAATGCCCTTCTTGTGGCAAGAGAAAGAGCCAACAGACAGAGACCCCGAATGAAAGGGAGCGTGGCCCTAAACCGGAAAGGATAGATTGTGCAGGTCATTTGCATGTTTCAATTTTTTGCCATGTTTGTTTCAAGATGCGGGCGAACGTTTAAAAGTCGTAGGGCCAGAGTGTATAGTTTATTATCAAGTACCCAGTCCTAGCAGCATCTTCATCAACGATTTCGGTCATACTATGACAATCTCAACAACCATGTACTCATAAGGCTATCTTCCTTACTGTGCTGAACTATGGGATGTTCTTAGGAAGCCAACGCAACATAACTGATTTGGCGATGTAATTTTCATTAGTCTGCGCCCGCTTCGCTCACATGTAGAAAACGATGTGAAGATAAAAATATTACATCAACGTCTAAGTATTGGATGTTCTATACTGGGATTTATTTTCTAATCGAATGACCATGTGGCAGGCATGTACATACTAGTGGAAATTTCGTGTAGCGAAGCCAAAGATCCCACTTTACTTCTAGTCTTGATTAGCAGACTTTGTTCACGGATCCTTTCAGTTTGATAATGTAATTCTCTTCTGTATACTATTAGAACTCTAAGCACTGTTTCTATTTTCTTCTGTTCCAGGTAGAAAAAGTGACGCTACCAATTAAAAGTCATTTGCGTACATACATGATGTGCAGGATATATGTATAACTGAAAAAGTCAAACCTACACTACATTCTAAACTTTTTTTTCTCTGTTTCTATTTCTTCTTCCTAAATTTAAATCGAGTTCTCATTGAATTATATTCCTGGATATTAATGCTACAAACATCTAGGGAGGACTTCCCCTTCTTCTTACTGTTACCAATGGGTAAGAGTCATACTGAAGGAAAATATCAACAGTCAATCATGGGTGGTCTTTGGTCGGGGCGGGAACTATGCTAGTTATGCAGATGAATATTAGTAATAGATTATGCACTTGTTAGTACCTACCACTCCTTCGCCCACCGTCTAAGAAAGTCCAGTTGGGCATCAGGCTTGGCAATAACTCCTGGATCAAAGGAAGGCCTTTATCAACTGCAACGTCATTGGCGCCTCCAATGTCCACACCTCGACGTGCGAGCATTTCTGCAGATAAAGGTGCGTATGCATACCCCAACAAACCCTCCGTTTCTTCTCGGCCAATTCTTCAGGAAATTTAACCAGAACCAAGACTGTCCCAAGTGCCGTACCCGTCGCATCAAATGCGACAGATCGGTCCCAGCATGCCGGAAATGCACCACACGAGGATTTCCATGTCCGGGATACGGTCTCATCCTCCGATGGGGCCAAGGAGTGGCTAGCAGAGGTAGACTGGCGGGCAGGCAGCTACCTCTACCATGCTCCCCGACTATTGCCCACTACCCTGATGCTGTAACTTCCGAACTTATGTATCACTACCATCAGATTGTGTCTGCCAAGCTGGCTTGGGTGGATGGCCCGACGAACCCCTGGAGACAGGTCATCATTCCACTGGCGGGGGCATCATCGACTGTCCTTCATGCCATGCTTGCACTTTCGTCGGAAGATCTTGCTGCGCGTTACCCGAACGACCATCCGCGTCGCCAGCAGCTGCAGGTCGTCTCTGTATGCCGCCGGGATCAGGCCTTGGCTTCGGTGGCTCAGCTTCTTTGCCACATGAGGCAGGAAGGCTCTTCCTCCAATCAGGCCCAGTGCGCACTGGCCGCCACGCTCATCCTCTATAACGTCGAACTCCTCGGCGCTGCATCGGCTAAGTGGCGGATGCACTTGGAGGCCGCACGTGTAATCCGCCGATGGAAAGAACACACACTGATGGACGCCGGAGGCACGGACGAAATCGATGCCTTTTTAGTCTACGAGCAGTACTACGCCAGTGTTTTTGCTAGCCTCACCACTTTCGATGCCCTTGGGGAGTACGAGGCAATTCCGCTGACTGATTCGAATGCTATATTTAGCGACTTTGTCGACATAATCAGTCGAACGACACATGTGGAGTGCTTGCAATCTAGTGATGACTATGGGATGGATTTTTCATTGCTTGACACGATGATAGGAGATTTGGAAGCCGCCAAGGCCCGCATGCTGGAGTTCAGCCTTATACTTTGCTGGCAAACCGACCAGGCCTGTCTCAGTTTCCAGCACCTGGTGGGGATCTTTTACTACGCCGGTCTAATTTATGTCCACCACGTCCTCGCTAGGAATGGTTCTCTGTATATGATATGTCAGTCTTGGAGACATTCCATCTTTATCCATCTCGCCCTTCTCGTTGACAAGCACTCATTCGCTCATGACCTTGTGTGGCCGCTTTTCATTGCAAGCACTGAGTGCCGTGGGTGCCCGCGCAGAAACAGGAAGTGGTTGCACACGAGATTGAACTGGTTATGGAGGTCAGCGGCACATTGGACCGACGAAATGTCTTTTCCTTCTTGAAGTGGTTCTGGGCCTTGCCAGAAAGTGACCTCACGTGGATCCAGTTCATGAGGCTGGCACCGGAGCGACGTATGCTTATTCTTTAAGGTCGCCTACTACGCCGGGCTAGACATTCGGAGAACGTCCTCCACATTTCCCCCCGAAAGCTTGGCTTCCTTTCGGGCCTCACGGAACCGAATGCGCCAAATGATGTGGCTGAGGTAAATTCCCAGCTCGAGTACCACACTGGTCACTGGTCAGATACTCTGAGCATATACCGCGAGGCAAGCAACGGACTCACACGACGATATACATAACCCCGCCAAGGATATCGAATGACCCTTGTGCCACTGTTGGACTCCGTTAGCATGTCGCACAATGTAAGGTATAGTGGCCATACCAAGGGCGAAAATTGAAAAAAGCCCTCCCAGCGTGTCGATGCATAAGAAGACCCAATCTATGTCGATCAGAATTCGCGCCTTCGCCCCCGGGGAACATGAGTACCACGTACTTATTCCGATCACCCGTCCTTGCCTTTTCCCCAATTCAAAGTATATTGGTAGCATTCCGCCAGCGAGAAGTACCGTGGCTATCGCACCCACCAGGAGATCCGGCCAGGTGATGCCCTTGTTGTATGGGATCTGCGACCACGATCGAATTAGTTATCCAATATTTTCATGAGTAGGTAGACCAGCCATCATGCCCTTAGTGTCAAAATGAGTAGGGCTTCGACCCCACCCATGATCGCTAGGAGGCCAACACACGCGAATGTGGCTTTTTGGGAGGTGTAACTGCTGTTCTTCATGTCAGCATACAAACATAGATACCGCTTAAGCTTAAATATTTTGGGTCCTAGGGCCCAAGCATGGTTAGGTCTCACTGGTCATAATGTAGAATCTGGGCCCAAATAATGGCCGAAAAAGTCCCGAAAACCTGAGGCTGGATTTGCATCGGGAGATTGACTTCCTGGCGGTTATTGTTGTGAGCATCTCGTCTCAAGCCATTACCTGTACCTGAACGGCAAATTGAGGGATATTATTTACCTGTAGGATCAGATACACGCCCATGGGCACAGCACCTGACAGAGATCCAGTCAGTATTACTAAAATTGGCAGTCCCGTCTTCAACTGACGCTCCTAATGGCGGATATTACTACTACACTGATATGTATATATAAATAATCAGCACGGGGGAGGGGGAATTGATCCGTACAAATAGCCCACAAGAACCCCATTGCGGGAGGCAGCCCTTCTGTTTTCTTCCGTCGCCAGTTATACCATATCTGGGGGACGAGCTGGATACACCAGAAAACGGTGCCGATAGTGCCAAGAACATTGGATGCCGGGGTGGCGTCGGTTGATGCGGACATGAGCAGAGTGATGGGTGACCAACTTGGTTATAGGAGGCAGGCGACCTTGGGATGGCTGAACGGTCATTCGAAAGCTGAAATCAGCGTTGACCACCCTTTTCTACCCATCGCACGCAGAAACTCCATGTCCCTAAGGTAGATATCTAGTTTGTGTCTCCAAACTCTGGAGATCCGAATGAGTGGGGCACGGTAACCAAAGTAGGCAAGTCGGGTGAGAAAAAGTTCTAGAACCATATAACATATCAGAGATTGAGAGATAGCCCATAAGCCTTCCAGGAAACAGGAAAAGGGAACTGTAACATGAGATAACCCGCACCTGATCACATCAAACTCTATAGACGTATGCATTCTCTTGCAATCTGCATTATCCGGGCATTGCAGACCGTGTGCTGTCATTGATGGTGCGTGGGTCTGCGTCCCTGAACGATCCACGTGACCCCCCAAGTCCCTAGAAACAGGCCATTTACCAGCTGTACCGGGTTTGAGCATCTTATATTGTTAATTTATCTATAGTTAACATCATGCATTAAGAGGTTGAGAATACCAATGATGTAAACCGAATGTACTGCAAACGGCTCTATTGTCGCAATTCTGTTGTGGGGCCGTGCTCTGTTTCCTGCTACCATCAACCGACTTGGAGTGCTCTCCTGAGACACGAGATAGCGATTCCGAGACAGTATTTCCTATTCGAGTGTTGAATAGAACTGGAACACCCTCTACTAGTCATACAATCAATCTTCTATTAACATCAAAGGCTACGTAGGAAGGACCGCGCGAAGGTGGTACTACTGAATCGTGCACAGGCATGGTCCAGGTCGATGTTAGCTTAGGAAGGCGGACTAATAATTCAGCGTATTTGGGACCAGTCACATTTCTACCTGTAAAACAGTCAAGACCTTAGTTCCCTTATTGAGTATCAGTTATGGGGTGCTATTGTGACAGCATTTGAACCGTGTCTTCTGTCCCCATGTGATAAGTTATCAATGGTTAGATTTGTGGTCGTAACATCGTTGTACCTATACATTAGTGTTTGCCCTATAAAAAATCCCAACCGTTATCGACTGATGGCAAGTCCTTTCAGTGTAGTAAAATTCCTCGCTCGCTGAGTGTGGAGGCCGTGGTCGCTGTGGTTAGACGTGGAAAATGCAAAGACCGGCTTTCAACTGCTCAGTTGCGATACCCATATGTTACCGAACTTATTCTGGACTATATATGGGGCCTGGAGAAGCACAGTTGAGGAGATATAAAGCTTACAATTATGCACATATGCTGGAAATAGCTTATTGTTTTGTCACCTTCACACCTGCAACAGCACGATCCCTCGCCCCTCCCAAGTTAAGCCGAGATGTGTGCCTTCTTTACTTTCTCACCATCTACCCCCGGAACCACGCTTCACAATGAAGAAGGGGGTTCAGTTTCTTTCTTGGACTCTTCTGACCGATCATTTTGTCTGGAAGCTCGGTAGGGCTGTCAAGGCGGTTGTACTTTATTACGCCAGCGCTACGCTGCTTCTTTCTTGCGCTCCCCGGTCACATTCTGACGTTTCCATCGTCAGGGTCAAAACTCTGCTGTATCATGGTGCTCAAGAGTAGTCCCTTCCATACCCTCTAGATATTCCTATAAGCCTCTTAAACCTTGAATTGTACTCAAGGTGGGAATCCGGAGCTTTTGCCCCGGTGTTCGAAGCCCGCATCGTACACATTCGATCAACTCCCCTACCCAATACCTGGCTCCGGGGCTGGAAGGGGTTGGCTCATATGAATAATTAGATTGCATATGAGAAGCGACTCAACAATGGGCGGGTCACTGGATGATCTACAATCGGTCCCAATCGGTTTCCAAATCTTGACATGAACCATGGATACCGGAGTCCCAGTCGGAATATCCGGTGAATACCACGCAGTAGTGTAAATAGCGGCATCTTGTTCGGTGTAATAAGCCCCGGAATTCAGACGCGCACACTGCTCCAAACCGCCGAAAGCACTGGGAACTAGCAGCTTGCCATGCACAAAGTCGGCTCAAGCCGATCGCTGATCCCCAAGCATATCGCCAGTAAGCAACAGGCATCGGAGGTACGTAATGGGTGCTGAGCAAAGTAGCTGACAAATAGAATGTCGAGCTACGTTACTAGAATGCCGTAGGGACTTGCTCCGATCTGCACAGGTTCAGCCGCACGCCGGCCACAGTAGTCGGGCCCTAGCTCGCCAGCACTAGCCACACTATCTATCGCTGGTGTGGCCATTAGTTCCGACCCATGACCAGCCTAAAGCTCAAAATTGATCGATCGCGCTTTCGACTCGTGACTGAAGAGAGGCAAATGCAAGGATCTGCATGTCAATTCCCGATTTCCCAAGTTTAGTGGTATTCGAGGCTTGGAGATGGGCGCATTGCATCGCAAGAGGCGGTTGCGTTGGAGTCTCAAATTTGCGGTGCTCCCAAATTTGCACAGTATGATGCTGAACATCGAATCAATGTGGTCATCACAATGTGCGAGATTGCATGGCCGACCCGAGATCTATTCAGCTGCTCCCAAAGTGTAGAATCCACACTTGTTCAGAGCTCCGCCATGGTTCATGGCGCTAGTTGGCAGGAGAATGAAGCATGAGACCCCCGACTATATATAGTTGGAAAGGTATCCTTGCTGGCATCTTTCCTCTCAATCTTCACATATCTTTGATATCGCATAACAACAGCACGACTGCAGACCTTCCTCACCCAACAGCTCTTCAATATTACCACCAGTGCCCATCATGCATTTTCTGCTCCTCTTGTTCTTGGGGCTGCTGCAATTAGTCTCTGCAGCCAGATCCGGCACCTATTATGCCGGCTGGCCCGTCGGTGATAGCACATGGAAGACAACCGATACCGTCTTTCAGCGAGAGACGGGCATCTCCAGGTACCGCCTGTTCCAGGCTGACGGACTGATTTATAAGTATCAGCTCGACTTTGAAGTCACCGAAAGACAAGGCGAATACGCAAGTACCTACGTGTTTTTTGACTCAGAAGGGGACGAGTATTACAAGGTGGTCTTTGTCACCGGCACTCATACCCTCAACTTTAATAGTGGGGACCCTTATATTCAGCAGGTCAAGGTTATCGAGGATTAGTGAGTGCATGCTACCATATATACCCCAGTGATACCATGGCTGATATGGATCAGAATGACCTCCCCGTTCGTGCAGGATTGAATAAGCTGATTTCTTGCCTTATTGGGTACCCTCCAATTCTGGCACATATCACCAGACAGTGTGCTTTAGTTTGATACTAGTGGAACGAGAGGAATTTCTTTGGTATGTTCGAATGCCGAATGGTGGCCACAGTGGAAGATAGTCCAAGAGGAAGCGAGATCGAAGTTGTGGAGAGGGGTTGGGGGAATGGGTAGTGATTTACATTAAAAAATAGCGCAAGGTCATTGGGTCTCAGAATGTGGCGCTCGCAAAGACAGTCGTGATTCCATTGGCATTTTCAGTGACACTACGTACTAGACAGCCTTTCTCGTAGAACCTTGATCTTGCAGCAAACATCCCGCACGGGAATACTGGAAACAGCCTAGGTATCTCGCATTAGGAGGCTCTATATTGTAAAACAATGGCCCAATGGCAGAACATACAGGGAGCGCCCATAAATGCTTTCTCTTCAAGGCCACTGAGCGCCAATCCTGCGGCACCTACGTAAGCAACCAGCTTACGAACACTTTAGACTTGGTGCCTAAGCTTCGAGACCGGCCGTGTTGGCCATTCAATTAAGTACTCTTCTCAGCTCGACAACACACTCGCCATTTGGTGGGTAGGCCTCGAAAGTTATTTGCAACCCTGCAAAGGCTGAAAGATCCCTCCACTCCGCGCGGGTCCGTTCTCGGCCAGCATGCATCAAGATCATCGCGGCATGGGTGGTCGAACTAGCTGCATTCTTTGTAAACTCCTGAATGAGCAGACGTGAAGACGGGGCCATGACCCTGGCGACCTTGGCCAACAGCTTGATGGACTCAATATCCGACAAATTGTGGAGGACGTGAGCCATGGAATACAGCAAAGCTCCCTTGACAGGCTGCTCGCTGCCATCCTCTTTGTAATTCCAGGCCATCTCTGTGACCTCAGGAACCACACCAATGTCTGCATTGTACTCCTGCAGAATGAGGTTTTCCTTCTTTAGTAGGTGCGGGTATGCCGCTTGCATCTCCAAGAGCAGCTCACCCCGGCCACCACCGATGTCAACTACCTGGAGTTTCTTGGGAGCCGTTGATTGAAGCAAGCCATCCAGATCATACCCGAGCTTGCGGACGCGATCGGGCATGGTGCCCCAGCGGCCAAATTTGCCCGTCATGAAAGTGTTAAAGCTATCAAGACGGCCCGTGTGATGCATCACTGAATACACATGTTCCCGAGCAAGGAAGTCATTGCCCATGAGTTTGTGTGCATACTGGAACGGAGTGTCGCACTCCTGGAACGGATACTCAAACTTGGTATCCATCAGGCGCCGCATGAGAAATGCCGATGCCAAAAGTCCCTCAGATGTGCTGGATAGTGAGAGAGCCTTGCTGTCAGCTACCGACATCACAGCTTAAGGTATGTCGCAAGGGGTTCCTACAAATGCATGGCTCCATGCTGGGCAGAGGGCGTTTCCACCAAGAATCGGGTGACGTCGTTGGCCCGGTACACATCGTCTGGAAGAAGGTCTAAGAAGCCCAACCCTCCCATGAGGAAAAGAGTATCATCTGCGGCGTAGTCAAGCGTTGTGAGTATTGTTCGGTCATGGGGAGGTCTGCAAGAAACAACATACTGGCCAGAGGCACCGCTGCATTAGGATTGGTTCACATGGTTAGCTACACGAACATTCCACGAAAGAAACCATTGGATGACATACACAGGTCGGTGTCACCATATTTAGTGTGATGCAAACTGCAGACCTCCTCCGCGGTGGCTGGTTTACCGATGTCTTGCAGGCAGCCGAAGAGGTCGAAATGAACAGCGATGGGCACGAACCCCAGAGAAGGGGCCTAGCAGAGGGAGAATGTGAGCATGACCATGGAATAAAACCACCAAGGAAAATATAACCCTGAGTAAGAGGCAGGGAACCGACACACCATAGTGACAGTGCTCAGGACCTTCTTCCCAGCTTCGGGGATGGGGGCATTCTGCGGAGCGGCCATGCCGGTGGAGACCTTGGATTCCGATGTTTTGCTCAAAATACAGAATTGTGGAAGAACAACGTTCTAGGATATACCCTCTAGATATAGGGAAGCCCAGGTCATCTGCTTATCATTTGTGGTTCCACGGCTAGCCATCGTTCCCCCGCAGAATTTGATTTATCTCACGCCCTTGACGATCATCTTCCAGTGATACCCAGAGCGGTGCATGGGGGCTGCAAATCTAGCGCGAGGCTTATCGGACCCTAGCCACCACCAATAAATATAGGCAGGATACCTAGCGCATGCACAACCAAACTGCCCATACCAAGCCACGAAGATGTCCTGAGCCCCTGACAGGGGCGGTGGATAATGTTTACCTAGGGCCAGAACCGGTGTGCGGGAATATCGATGGCGGTCTACTGCTTACGCTGGCGATAAGAAACTCTGAACCTCCATTCCACATCATATGGAGAATTGCAAGCCATCATCATTGGCGGCACGTTCGGTGATACCCGGCCATACTACGGTCTATGTCGTGCAGTCAGTAGTCAGCTTACGCTTAATACAGCAAAGTCTCCATCGTGCAAACACTAGGTAGGAACATGATGGCTGATGACAGCGATGATAGGTTCTATAGAACTAGAACGTGGTGACACACCATGTTATGCGCAATCCGTAGATTGCCCCACTGGGCTGTGCGACGCAAGGGGCAATGACCGGCCAGTACACTTATCAGTCCAGAACGAATGTACTTTCTCCCCTTGGGACGCCTCTTTCTAAGGAGAATAGCATGCCCTGTGACCACCCCTTCCGCATTACCAAATGTTCGACCAAAATTCTATTCTCTATTGCCCTATTTTCAAACGGTTTTTAAGACTATAAGGGACAGGATACTACCGGGATCTCTATACACGTGTTGAATTCGTAGCCTGTCACTCACTTGACGGACGATGGCCAGCCAATCCTTCAGCGTTCTCTCCAGCGTGTTGGTAAATTGGTGAAGCAGTAGATCATTGCAGCGCATCACCCGTTCCTGAGTAGCCGGGATAGAGCCCGTTTCTGGCAGAACTATGTCAGCGATGAAGATCCTGCTCTTTGGTTCCAGAGCAGGCAAAATGTTGCGAAGAATCTGAACAGCTTCCTGATCCGGCCAGTCATGGAGAATTTGGCGCAGCAGATATACGGCAGCACCCTTAACTGGCTGCAAGTGGAAGAGGGAATGGCCCTGAAACCGGATGCGAGTAGTCACTGAGAGGGGCAGCTCGCGCTCTTCCAGTCGCTGGATGCTGTTAAGAACAACCTCTGGGCGGTCTTGCACCACAAAGCGTAGGCTCGGAAAGCTCTCTGCTAGGCTTACACTGACATGACCAGTAGAGCCGCCTATCTAGAGGTATTTGTTAAGTAGTGCATGGAAGGGAATCTGAGATATAGAGGCTCACATCGACTACGACCCCGTCATCGAGCGATGACCAGTCGAAACTTTTGCATAAATGCGAAGTGTCAAACAGATTGGTAGTGGACACCGCCATCATGGAATTGGCGAATTCAACCGTGCGGGCAGGATCCTGCGATATGTAGTCGAAGAAGGAGCCATGGTGGTCGAAGGCAAGATTATGCGCCGTTTCATTCAATTTATTGCTATCTGGCCAAGTAGCAGTCGCATCCACATTTTTGGCCGCAGTTGGGAAAACGGTCTTAGCAAAGTACTGGCCCCAATAGTCCAAGGTCGGGTCACCGGCTAGCTTGCGCGATACAGGGCTGTGGCCAACCTTTCCCGTTGTTCCGTACTCTTGGAACAAGTGACCGGTCATGACGAGTCGTAGGTAGCTGCGCAAGAGTTTCTCTGGAACGTTTGCCATGTGAGACAGCTCTTGGTATGAGATCGTGGCATCCTGTGGCACAAAAGTGTGAATCTTGAAGTGGAGTAACCATCGCACGGCACAGATAAATTGGAGCTGGAAAATGAAACCACACATTTACTGTATTATCAGCTAGCCGTCCATATGCATTTGCACAGTTTCAGAGAAAGGGGGCCAAAGTAGGAAAGGATATGCGAACATCAACCGTTAAATTTGTCAGCACATCACCTGGGTCCCGGATTAGATGGAGCAGCTGAATTGCGGCTTCCTCCAACTCAAGTTTGGCTGCGCCAATTGTTGTTGGTAGTGTGGTCTGGTTAGGCAGCATCGACGGGTTGTCTTTGAGTGACCTAAGGTGTTCGGCGATGAGGCCGGCACTAGAAGCTACCTGGCTGGCATAGCGTTCCAGTTGGGAAGAGAGACGTTCATCCATCACGGAGTGTAATCCAGCTGTTATGTCTTGCTTGTTCGAGGGCAGTGAGCGGTAACCATGCAAGTCTGTATCGAGCGGGAGCGATGAGGACACATAGAAACCCTTCCAAACGCTCTGAAAGTGACGGACAGTGTAACCGAAAGAAGATGGCATTGGTGAGCCATAGCTAGATTTAAAGGGTAGGCAAGGGACGAGTGAAGGCGGAGGGCCTAGACACTGACACGATACATCAACGCCTCGAATCTCTGAATCAACGACACTCGGCTTGCGGTCGTTGCGTACAGCCTAGAACTGGCCGAGCCGTGTCTGGCCCCAGATAGAGTCAGCTGCCAACATTCTCGGCCCTGGGTGAAACCATCAGGACAACATTCTACATTTGCAATCCCACGAAGCAGTCCCGTGGAACATGCACAACCGATCATATTTGCGCTGTCATAGGATAGTCTTGGTTTTGGCTTGCATTGCAGGCATGTCAGTCACCCCTGCTGATTCAGTTGGCTGTGACAGCTGACTGCTTTTCTCAGACACTAGTATCCGCGTTCTGGCTACCCAGCCGCCGGCTACGCTTACAGGTTTTCTGTCCCGGTGTTAGACGCTGCACATAGTTCAAGCGGAGCCACCGCATCTTTGTCACTGGGCGGAAGTGTGGAGTTAGACAACTGTCAAAAGGTCTCCCAGACGGACTTGGGATCCCCAACTGTGAGTGAGAGCAAAGACGGACCAGCAGATCACCGAGAACACCCTGAGCGGGAAGAGGACGCGGTTCTTGTGAATGGGTACAAACTGGTATTGATCACCATCGGGCTCTTCTTCTCCACGTCTTCTACATCACTCGAATAAACCATCATGTCCTCCACGCTGCCAAAAATCACCCGGCAGTTTCACTGGCCGGATGATGTGGGTGGTATGCAAGAGCCTACCTGCTCACTACCCACGCCGTGACACTCCCTTTCAGCCGTCTAAAAACCTTCTTCCCCATGAATTATATCAATATGGGTGACCTCTTGGTGTTGACCTCTTGGTGTTTGAACTTCGCTTTTCCCTCTGCGGCATCACCCCGTCTTTGTCGGGCCTCTTCCCGTCCCGCGCAGTGGCCGGCCTAGGGGGAGGGGGGCCATTCTTCGGTTCCCTTATCGTCATTACTCACAGTGGGCCACTTCGCCAACGGACAGCCTTCTCAGGGTACCTAGTGAGCGTACTTTCAGTGGCGAACTTAATCGTACCTCTGCAACCTTATAGGCCAGTAGGTCCTCCCGTCGCAAGTTCAAATGATTGGGAGTGCGAGGTCGCCTCATGACGCCGGTTCGTAGGATGGGCCGGGCCTTCAAAAACCACATCTCGTGCCGCTGGTGTTTCGATATCTATCTCCCATTTGGCTATTGGGTCCCGTCGTTATGTTATTTATCTTCCAAAAGACCGAACCTGTCGCACCGATAAGCCTAAGGGAAAACGTGGTTCGTCTTGATCCTTTGGGGACGGCCATCTTCCTACCAGCTATGGTGTGCCTGCTGCTAGGACTCCAGTGGGGAGGTACACAATGCCCCTGGCTCAATGCTCGCATGGTTACCCTGTTATCTCTTCTTTGTGGTCCTACTTGCTTGCTTTGTAGGGCCCACGAGCCACTGTTCCACCGCGCCTGCACCGCGACCGAAACATCCGGGTCTCAGCACTGTACGGCGTCTGTCGAATTGGTGTCATGTTCATCTTTTTCTACTATCTCCCCACCTTGCTCCAGGTGGTTCAGGGGGTCCCAGCCACCAAGCCCGGTTTTCAGAACCTGCCGCTCATCATATCCAACCTTATATTGGCTATCATTTGCGTCGTCCTGGTGAGGGTTACATAAAGCTTCGGGCCCCTTTATGCTCCTTGGGGTGGCCATGACTAGTATCGTCGCTGGGCGGCTCTCGACACCGCAGTGAGATTTCGGGGCAGGTCAGTGGATTGTATACCAGGTGGTTCTGAGGATGGCATCGGCATGGGCTTCCAGCTGCTTGTTTTCGTCGTGCAGACCATCCTATCATCCACGGATATCTCCACCCCCACGGCCCTGATGACTTGACTTTCATTCAGCTCCTTCACGGTTGCACCTTCGTTTTCGTTGCGCAAGATATCTTTCGCAATAGGTTATCGGCAGGCATCCACACAGCCTTGCCGATGCTGGACCCTCGCGCGGTAAATAATGTCGGTCCTACCAGTCTCCAGAGAGTGTATTCGAGTGATACTCCCTCGAGTGTAGATATTATGAATAATTATGTCGTGGTGCACACTTTCCATCCAGCCATTGGCTTATCTGATGCTTCATTCTTCGCTGCAACTGTCGTTTAGTGGCGATCCATCGAGCAAATCAATCAGCCAGTCGTATCGGGTCCACCTCATCAGGCGGGAGCCCCTGGATCCTTACGTGACCAAGGGGTTAACATTCATCCCTTGCCGCATGACGTTCTCGGATCGACCATGTCCCTACGGTCCCCGTGGTTTTCTATGTATCTGCCATCCTATGCTAGCCGTGCTCTTTGAGCAATTGGGTAGGTCTTCGTTGCCTTCCCCGCACAATATACTGCGTTGCTCATATGGATCCTAATACTTGCCCGCCAGAAAAGAAGTTGCAGCGTCTCCATGTAAGAACAGCATTCATGTATAACTCCATTGAAACTATCGTCAATTGTGATCTCCAAGTAGCTGGAATTATATATTATACACACTGAAATTTCCCCCCCCCCCCCCATATGGCATACGGAGGAGCCATCTCGCAGTATTCTAAGATGACATTCGGTCATTCGGCGAGGCCGGATGAGAAGGTGGGGGGGGGGTGTGTGACAACAATGGCGCCATGATGCGCCCGGAGTCAGCTTTTCCGTCAGTAGTGAGGACAGACAGTCAGCTATTGCACCACCTTTTTATAGTGGTAAACAGGTCGCTCGGCCTTCCTGGTGCTTGAGCAACATCCTCGTTTGCCGTCTTTAATCGGACTTTCTGGGCCTCGAAAGTGAATGATGGCTCGGCGCATACGCCAAAAATTTGTTTTCTGTAATAATCATGCATTAATTATTGTCTTACGTAGGTTACGGGCCAAGGTTTCGGGCTATAATATTATAAGATTCCGATCAGTTGTATTCTACTTCAATGGGGTGCATAAAGACTGTTGGTTAGATTTACTAGATCCTTTGTGGCAAATATGTTATAGGCACTACCGCCTCCTCATAGAGTAATCATATGAATTGTTCAGAAACTGAAACCCAATAGATATTAGTAACCTGCGATATTAGTGCACCGGTATCCAGAGGTTCACTGGTAATACTAATGGCCCCTCGCAGTCTGACAAAGTAGACAAATCCCGCGCTTCGTGATCTGTTCACGGCTGCCTCAACAAAGCAAGGGGCAACCCCCCCTTTCATGTCACTCAGCGAAGGAGGCTTACTGTTTCGACATATGAATGGTCTAGACCAACCCTTGCTACAGCCGATAGTAGTAATGGAAAGACACTACCACATGAATGAACAGCAGAGCTGGGACCAGAACTGGTGTCACCTCACCCCCGTCTCCTCCCTGCATCGAGGTCGTCACCACAAAAAATGTATTGAAAATGAAATTTCGAGTGCCTGAGGACCAATATCTGAAGAGGGGCCACTGGAAAATGGTGGACCGACGAGCATTGTATTTGAGCAACACCGAGGCCTAAGGCTATGATCTCACGGCCCTAGGGAGCATTCACTTCCCATCAACCACCATTTCCGCCGATGAGCCTAAGAGTACACGATGCTGATCCTCTATCTAGTGCGTGCCATACAGCACATAGTTCCCCGATCTTCATGTAGCTTGCACCCACAACTAACCGACAGTATTCGACATACAGCTAGCAGCGGTCATTGTGGGTTGGCTGATATACCGCCTCCATCTAGACCCTCTGTCGCGTATTCCAGGTCCCCTGTTGGCCAGATTTGTTCCGGTCGGGCAATCATTCTCGCCGCCACCCCGTACTCTTGCTCAGCTAGCTAATTGATTGTACCAGATCTGTAACATTCAAATGGTCCTGACCGGCCGACTGATGTTCACCTTCAAGAAGCTGCATGACACTTACGGTGGGCTTTCACCTCGTCTCTCCCCAATCTCCAGAAAGCTCACCCGATTTTCCTTCAGGCCCAGTAGTTCGCATCGGACCAAGTGAGCTATCATTCGCAACAAATAGCGCATTCGATACCATCTATGGACCCCATGGGGACAATAACTTCTCGCTCTACGGCAGTCGGAAAGGCCTGTTGGGAAGCCTGGGCGGCATGGCAGATTCGTTAGGCAACTCAACAGAAAAGGATAATCGCCGAAAGCTACGTCCCCTGGTTGCTACCTCGTTGAATGAGCTGCTGGCCGCCAAAGGCGAGGAGTATTGTCACTTAGCAATGGCCGAGCAATTAGCATTCCATCATGTAGGCCAGACGGAGGCCGCACCCGTCTCCCTATCCACGTTGAACAATCGGTACTTGTGGCAGTTCGCGAGCATGGCGGCCTTTGGAAACCGCGGCGACGAAGCGGAGCGAGGTAGGTTCCACAATTTACTAATGGGTCGAGCTTCTCGGCACTAATCGAAGTAATAGTAAGCTTTAATCCTCATGTTGACTGGCTGGACCCCTTCATGTGCTTCCTTGAGACACTCTTAGTCGTCTTCTCACGAGCTACCATTCACCGTCACATTTCAATTGCTCTAAGAGTGTGGCAGGCCATTTGCTTCATCTTCCGATGGCCCATCCATCCAGGCGAAGTCAACTACGACATGGATGAATCTGCATTCCCGGATAACCTTCACAGTCGGCTCCGGCAAGCAGCTTCGAGGACCATGCTCCAAGTTCCTGATTCCTTATTGCAGGTCAATTGTTTTGTTCTCCGGTGAGCATCGGTCCCAGGCCGGTAGGGAATAATGGCGCCCCTAGACTCTAGACTAAACCATCGGCGTAGATTCAGCATATACGGGACAGCAGACAACATGTTAAACGCTTTGTTTTATTTTCTGCTGAAGGACCCACAATGCTTAAGGAGACTGGAAGCAGAGGTCTTGTCTGTGGGGGCCGCTGTGGATGAGCTATCGGACGACTGTCTAGCCAGGTTGCCCTATCTCAACGCCTGCATCAACGAAACCTTCCGTATCACACCTGCCTTCAACGGGGGCATACTACAACGGGTGTCTTGCGGTGCCACAGTTGATGGGATCTACGTCCCACCGGGGGTAAGGTCTAACTTTTCTCTTCCTTTTAGTATGGATTTATGGACATACTTCGCTGATATCAATCTCCTGGCCAGATTGCGGTGTCGGTAGACCATTATACGCTGGGCCATGCCCCTCAGTATTGGGAGAAGCCTGATATCTTCAACCCGGACCGGTGGATCGATCAAAATTGCAAGGATAATTTCAAAGCCTCGCGGCCGTTTCTTATCGGCGCACGCCAGTGTCCAGGGCGACAGATGGCGTACCAGATGTTCCGGGTGTGTGTCGCCAAACTCGTATATCTCTACTCTTTGGAGTTGGTCAACAATGACTTTGATATTGAGCGGGACACCTTCTCATCATATCACTGGACCGGTGTCAAGCTTGATGTGACCATGAAGCCACGCACCCCGGGTGTTTTCGGCTACTAATTCGCATGGTCTTCTGCTTTGGCTGTGAAGCTTTATGGTCAACCTTCCTCCCCTCAGACTGATTATCGTTAATCATGTTAATTACTATTGCCTGTTCAGACCTTCGCAAACTCTATGCTCAATGTATTGTGATGTGATCCCGTGCTAGTAGCACATCGAATGACTCTAAATGTAGTAGATCGCAATAATAATAGATGTCTTATATTCTGTGTCCCCATCCCAAACCCACATTGCTACCTCAGTTGCTCTCTAGGCAATATAAGTGAAGTGTCGAGACTCCCATCATATAACGTCAGATAGCAATTTAGCCCAATACTATAATATTCCTCCAGTTATCTCCAAGGAAATTCACCCTTAAGGTCCGGGCAGCAGGGTATGAGGATGTCGGGAATCAGCTTAGAATAAGTAGGAGAGGTAAAGCTATAGCACGGGATTTCACATCTCACCTTAGCCTACTCCACACGTAGACCCCAAGGCCAGTTCAGGTGATGTTCTCGGCAGGCCAGAATATAATAGTAATGACCCTCGTGGCAAGCTAAGGAATCTGCAAACTGATACATCCAATGAAATCTCCAGATTGGCATGCCACGGCTGTTGTGGATGCAATTGAAGGTTCCTCATGATTGCTCAATCCGTTCTCATGATTGGCCTCTCTGCATACCAACCGGCATTCTTAGGTGTATGCCTGGTCTTGGCTCCACCTGACATTTTTTACCAGTCAATATTTAAATGCTCTTCCAGTGCAGAGGTTCAGGCAAGCTATTCTTGACTACTCGAAATTTCAGCAAAATCTGTATTCTACTCAGCATGCGTCTCTTGCTGGCTACTATATCAGCCGGGGTGTTGTGGCTTCCCCAGGTGTTGGGGAGGGCCAACACGACTGCGCCGAATTATACGGTCGATGAGCTGTGGAAGTTGGAAACTACCTTCTGGGACAACTTTCTATATCCTGCCAATGTTGAGCAGATGGAGGCCATTAATTCCACCTTGTTTACTCCGGATGTATGTGGAGGGTAGTTGCCCTTCTACATAGTCGCTGACATCTCCCTGCAGGTACAAGGTCGAGTAGACATCACCCGCGTGTTCAACGGCAGCGAATTGAACACGGAGTACATTTTCGGACTGTTTTCGGACCCTGACCATGTTAGTCTAGTTGGGGTTCCCGTTGACTACAGTATTACGCAGTTCATCGCCCAGGGGAATATCGCATCTGCGACCACTGTCGTCACCTTTAATGCCACCTCGTTCGGTAATCTGCTGGTACCGGTCACCATCGACACGTGGATCATGTGGGATTCCAACGGACGCATTGTGCAATATGATGCCACCTTTCGTTGGTTCGGGTTTCTGCTGGATACTCTGGTGGAGGCTTTGGCGGAGTCCATCAACGGCACGACCAGCCAGGCTACGGCATCACTGACGCAGATCCTCGCCACGACCATCTGCGCAACGCATGATCAGTACTGCACCGGGGCAAACCAACAATACGATAACAATACGGCTTGCCTCAACTTCCTGACCACGGCGATCCCGCTCGGCAAGGACTACGAGCTAGGTCGGAACACCCTGTTATGTCGGGAGGTTCATGAGCACATGGTGCAGTATGATCCGGCGCTTCACTGTCCACATATCGGGCCAACAGGGGGAGATTATTGTGTCAATGATCAGACCTATGCACAAAAGGTCCTTCAGAAGTACTTCAACCAGTCATGGATTGTGGGCGTGCCCTCAACCGGGGATATCTGGCTTGGGGACTGATGGTGACTGGGAAACCGCTTGCTGGGCCGATGTTTATTTAGGGATATAGAATACCCGAGAGAAGGATAGATAGGGGGAGAATTCATTTCACGAGCCATGAACCAGAGCACTATGGACTTTATAAATAATGGTATTAACTGTAAGAGTAAGGCTGTCTTAGTTTTTGCAAATTCGCTGAACGGTCCCACCTTCTCCCAGCCTGTCTCTCTAGAACTGCCGCGTCAGAGGCTGCTCTGGCCAGAGAGACTCGTACAGATTACGGGCCAACTTCCATTCCATCTCATCCCAGGACCCATCAGATCTAGCGCATATCAGAACCGAGACTCGTACTAGCCAGGGAAGTGCATCTCTTTACCTTAAATGAAAATGTTTCGGGGCCAAGACGTGTGCCCGCAGCAGGATGCAGCCCACCACCGCATCATACGGCCTGCCGGCCGTTTTCACGGATTCGAAACTACGAATATTCTTAGGATGGATTATTAGAGGCTCAAGCGACATCTTTGCAACACCGTTGATGTCAATGCCTTCGATCTCATCGACCAGGGGTACCGTGACATGGTCGTCCCGGGGGTCGTCGGTTGGACCGGACAAGGGAACATCAGTCGCGTCGACCACACGCTGAGCATCCCGCACCAGCTGGGGCCATGCGGTGACCCATTCTGTGCTGTGAGTGTCACGGACGCCGTAGTAGTGGGTGTATCTGTCCAATGTCAGACTCCGGCTGGGATCTATCGACACAGTGGACTTACCCCATCGTGAATCCGCTTTATATTATTATTGGCGAAAGGCTGTTTGGTTCAAGGTGATGACCATAAAGTCATTAGTAGTGCTATGTGTTGGTAATGGCAGGCATTTATTACAAGGGAAGACATGAGGCAGGCAATCATGATGGAGGCGTCTTAGGCAGCAGCCCCGACAATTACAGTGTATTCAACCGGTCTAGGTTCCTCCCAAAGTTCACTACCATGGATTCTGCGCCTTGGTCCTTAGAATGATTTGGCTTCGCGCATCTTAAACTCTGGCAAGGGGCTGCGTCCCCCACGATACCACAACCCTGTGTTCTTCGCGTCCTTGTTGTTTAACGTCTCCACTGCCCGTAAACCAAAGGCTACGTCCTTTCCAGGGTCCTCTTCCACCCACTGGCACCGACTGAAGGCCGTCTGCAGCTCCTGGTAATTGAATGCACCCCGTCCGTGGTAGTGCTGCCCCAGTAGCGGGATAATTGCCTTGCTAGCTACAGGGCTATAATAGTGCGGGATGCGTGAGAATAAGTGATGAGTGACGTGGTCGGTTGAGATATGATGGAAGAAATGCGTCCCAATGATGCCAAAGTCGCGGTCCATGGTCGCGGTTGCGCCACGCAGGAAGCTCCACGATTCAGGGGTGTATTTGGGCACCGATGGGTGGGTATGATGCAGATACGTGATCATCACTAAACACTCAGACAGATTTCGTCAGATATTCTCAAATTTGTCAGGGAAAGGGGAGGCTTGCACATACCGACCCAGTGGTTCACCCATGTCCACGGCACAATATAAACCCAAAACAGCGTCTCGAATGAACCAAACTGCTGATAAAGCTGATAAAGGCCGGCGATCACAGTGAAGCAGCCCAAATCCGACAGCACAATGGACAGCCACTCGGAGGGATAGAACAATGCCCCTTGGGGATCGAAATGGCTGTGACGCCACATCGACATACCTTTCTTGGGAACAGCTGTAGGAGGGCAGGTGATGTTGGTTAGGATATACCAGTTCCAGCCGATGGTCTGCTGCAGCAAAATGCGAAGGAAAAGGACGAAGGGCGCATCCTGTCCTATATTCTCGAGCACCTCGACCGCCTGGCCGATCTTGTCGGCGTAGGACTGGCGCAGAGGCGGCACATAGTTTAGGTCCTTTTCAATATGATTAGCATAGATATGGTGTCGCCGATGAGTTGATTTCCAGGAGAAGTAGGGGGCGAGGAGAAAGGAGTGCAGGACGAATCCGACGCTGTCATTCACCACACTCCAGCGTGAGAAGCCGCTGTGGCCACAGTCGTGTGCAATCACCCAGAGTCCCGTCCAAACAATGCCTTGACATACTCCATACACACTGACCGTGAGGTAGTAGAGCAGTGACGAATTTTGCACTGCGCTGGTTTGTAGCAGCTGGTACAGTGCGGTCAGTAGGATTCCTGCGTATGCCAGGTCTCGCAACAGGTAGAAGCAAGACCAGAACAGGGACGGCGTGAAGCAGTAGTCGGGCACTGCGCGACGAAGGTCATCCACAGTCACCTTCTTATTTAGATTCTGCAGTTCCACAATAATAGATCAGTCACTCTGGATTTGCACAATAGATGGATAGATAGACATACCCCTCCCTCGACTAGATGTGTTGGATGCGGTTCTGCGACCGTGCGAAACCCGGTCTTTCCTGGCTCCATGGTGCAGTGGCAGAATCTTCGAAGGACAATTATCGACGATGGGCTTCAGTTGATACCCAAATAGATCTAATTGACAGACCTGTGTAATGATCGAACAAGGATAATTCTGCGTTCTTTATATAGTTTGCCCTATATCATCATCAGCGGCCTCTATCATCAGGCTACGATTAGTACTTGACGAGACCTGGTGCCACAATCAAACAGCCCACCCCGAGCTAAGGGGTTTACAAATTAGCCTATAGAATCTATGGCAAGTAAGGAAAGAATGGGAGTGTCAGAGAGCTAAGGTGCAAGAGAGCCCTTCGGAATCTCACTTGCATAAACGAGGCTGAGAGGATCCGATCCCGCATTATCTAAAACCGTGAAGACCCCGAGAGTTTCGCGAATCATACCGATCAACTAAGGGTCTTCGCCCCCTCCAGGTCCGCGGACGATCATCGCGCTTTATATTCTGTCACGCCTGATCGTCTATTCTCTGTACTCCCCAGTGATTTGCCTCGCATGGGTTGTAAGCAGAACAACACACTAGTTGCCCAAATACCACCTAACCCCTCTATCTACACCCAAAGTAAGATCCCAGCTTACTACATTTCTAAGGCTTGGCGTATACCACTTATGCTTCATGCTTATTCCCTGGAACAAGATTACGGTCTAGATCAACAAATAAGAAATCTCTGGATAGTCTTCGCGTGGTGCATGTGATGAAGATGGAAGTAAATAGTAAAGATCCAAGCCAATCCCTTCTGTGGTTGGTAAAATGATGACATGAGACCCTCTCGTCGGTAGGTGGGCTACCATCTGTTTGTCCCACGGGATACCACAAGGCCGGGCCCTACCTGACCCCTTGCTCGACTCGAACAACCACCGGCAATGAACGTGAGATGCCCTACCGTATGCAAGGATCAGCCTTTGGCTCGTGTCACTTCGTCTTCGGATCCTTCGAACGCAATGCACCCTGCATGCCCGACGCCCTGAATACGAGGGGGCGAAGAGATAAGAGATCAAGTGTCGTCTTCGGTAAGATAGAGTTGTTTACGAGCTCTGGGGAAAATGCTTGGTGTCCTTTGCAAATATACATACAGTCACTTTCTATTGCAATCTATCATGACCATTACATGTGTTCATCATTATGTACAACATCCCCATTGATTCCTACGCATTCGTGCCCAAAGCAAAGACATCCGCAATCTCGGTGATATTCTTTCCCTGAGATAGCAGCAATCCCAGCAGAATGCGCGACTTCTGCGGGTTCAGATATCCACTGGCGATGTGGGTAGCCGTGTCGCTGCTCACGTCCGACAGTGGCACTTCCCCGTTGACAGTGCGCATACTCTGCACGACGGGGATATCCAGACGGTTGATGACGTCCTCGATGGCCTCGTTGAAGGGGGTCGTGACGCCTCCAGCACCGGCACCAGCAACCTAGTCTCATCAGCATCTAGTTCAAGCTACAAAGACAGATCGAAGCAAAATCACTTACCACAATACCCTGGGCACCACTGGAAATGGCATTGTACAGGGTGTCGTTGTGCATGTCCTCATAGGAGAACAGGATGTCCACGCGGGGGATCTCAGTCACGTTGGCAATATCAAAGGTCACCTTGCCGGTTGGCTTGACGGGCGGATAGAAGAAGAAAGGGGTGTTCGAGATCATCTCGCCGAGATAGCCCATCTCCATGGCCTTGAAGGTGTCCATGGTGTTAGCATTTGTCTTTGTCACGTAGTAGGCCGAGGCAATGCGATCGTTCATGACGACCATGGCACCGCGATCGCGCGCCGAAGCAGAGGCAGCCACCGTCACAGCTTCGAGGAGGTTGAAGGGTCCGTCCGCCGAAATGGCCGTGGACGGGCGCATAGCACCCACAATGACAATCGGCTTGCCGCAGTTGACGGTGGCGTCCAGAAAGAAGGCAGTTTCCTCGAGGGTGTCGGTGCCGTGGGTGATGACGGCGCCGGCCATGGTCGGGTCCTCACACACGACGCGGTTCAGCTTCTTGGACATGGAAATCAAGATGTCGGAGGTAATATCCTCGCTTCCTACGTTGGCCACCTGCACGCCGGCGACATTGGCCACATCCAGCATGGACGGAACTGCATCGATGAGGGACAGGACACCGACTGCTCCGGAGGTGTAGCCGGTCGTGGCTGTTGAGCTGGAGTCAGAGCCGGCAATGGTACCACCTGTGAGCTGAGGTTAGCTATCGGTCACAATCCCTGAATCGAACTCAGTGCACCTACCCGTTGCGAAAATGGTCACATTGGGCAGGGTGGTGTTCATCTGGGTGAAGTTGAGGCCATTGGCATTGGTGAAGACGAAAGTCTCATTGGTCGTCCGTGTATAGAGCAGCGGAGAGGCCGAGGCGAGAGTGGCCAGAGCGGAAAAGAGAAAGGGCTTGAGAGGCATGATGCAGACTGATGAGATGATGGTTTCTGGCTTCTTCTACAGTTCATCTTGCCTGGCTGCAGCATTTTATACCCCATCATGTTTGTGCTGGGACGCGGGTCTAATCGGATTCCAGCCGTGATTGCAGTTGAAGATGGTCTTGTTCTGTGGAGGCATGCTATCTCCTCCACATGGTCTTATCAAAGTTTCTCCACATGGAGTTGACATGGGAAGATTACTAGTCTATCCAGTTAGAAGGAATTCAGGGTCCATAGACTAGTGGACGGAAACTGATAGAATGATGATTGATAAAAGGCTTGGCCCCCGATATCGGTGTTGACTCCTCCCGATAAGCCCAACTGCCGGAGAAGGTCCACCCGAGGGTAGCATTCACCTTTGCGATAAGGCAGAGAATCCTTCTCGAAGCCGCTATCTGCATGACACCGAGGCAATATGTCATCTTATCTTGTTGTCTGTCATCAGAGACCTCTTTGCCGCACTCGGATTGACATTTGTTGCAATTTAATGGCAGTAGCATCGCATTTGACTAGTATTATCCGAAATCCCCAAACCAAAATATATATCGATGTCAGCGTGAAGGTGATACGTACATTATTTACTACTCGTAGTAGTAGTTTCTACTAGTAATATGTTTCTTCTATGTAGTACCTTCCAAGGCAATAGTAGGTATCCTTTTCCACGCTTTGAGGCTTTGTAGGTGGCCTTCCTTGACAGATCAATCCCTCATCGTCTGTACTAAAAGATGATTCCATGATATGCAACTTCCCTCCTACTAGTAACTATACCGAGCTGATCTGAAACTGGTGCGAGGTGTGCCCCGTCATCACGCCGGCAGTGTTTCGGATCTCGGGTTGATGAAATGCCTCCAGCGATTGCAGCTGCGCGGGAGTGCCGATCTGGAGTTGGTGCAAGATCTCGACCACGGCGGCATAAAGTATCCCACGGTTGCCATCCTCAATCTTAACCGCGATCCCCAGAGCCCCGCCAATCCCCAGTTGCCGCGTGTAGTCTGAAGCACGCACTCCAATAGCATAACAACCGTCCGCTCCCACCTTGCCAATCAACATCCCTTCAAAGGTCTGCATCAGCGCGGTGCAGAACCGACCATCACCCCCGACGAGTTCTGGATGGCCTGCCATCGCTCGAAAGATGCGAGCTAGCGCCTGTGTCCGTGGAGACGGGTAATCCGTAGAGGCTACGTCGGCTGAATTGGCGATGCGAGCGTAGATGCCGGCTAGATGCTGCAAGGGTAGCGCGGGGGCCGGCAGGTTACAGCCATCAATGGCCCATTGGACATGATCCGAGGGCAAGCCCGCCAACTCCTCGACAGCGTGCGTGACTTGCTGCTGGAGAGGATGAGTAATGCAGTGGTACTCTGTAGGAGAAGCTCCCAGGGCTTTCGCACCGGCGAGCATGCCGGCGTGTTTGCCTGAGCAGTTGTTGGCGATAGCCGTCGGGGTCCAGTCCCGCTTGATCCAGGCTCGATTGACAGACTCCGACAGGGCCGCATGACCTCCACAACGCAAGTCCTCTTCCGTCAGGTTGGCTTTGGCCAGCATGGCGCGGGCACGGGCAAGATGGCGATCTTCACTGCTATGGGAGGCGCACATCAACGCTAGATCTGCTTCATCGAAGTCAAACTGTTCGAGGGCGCCGGTTTCCAGAACTGCCAGGGCTTGGGCAGGTTTCGCAGCCGAGCGGGCCAGAGTGACACGCATGGGATTGCCCACAGCATAGATGATGCGGCCCGTGGCATCGGTGACGGCGGCATGAACTTGGTGTCGGTTTTCCACGACGCTGCCGCGATGGGTCACTACATAACCGGGAACGGGGTCGCGAGGGGATGGGTTGGGAGACACAGTCATGGTGGATGATACCAAATGAAGTGTTCACTTGCCAACTGCTGAAATGGTACCGTCGCCATGTCTGCGACTGCGCAATAATTTTATAAGGGCCCTCCTGTTGTCTGCGATATCAGGTGGATGGACAATCCGGGTGAGGGCACTATTCCCAATGCGGTGCGCGGATGCGATGAGGAAGGGACCAATTAAGGTAGAACGGGACAGAAAATGTTCATTTCGTGATGGAGGAGGGGGGTAAATGTGGATGACTAAATTGATGTGTGTTACTGAGGCAGCTGGAACGAGATTATCACATCACCATCACCATCAAAGAATCCGCATACAGTGAAAAGATGCCATCGAATTAAGATATCCCGAGGCAGTCAGGCAGTCAGGCATCATGTTATTTATGCCTTATCGCCTTATCGCCTTGCTGCCTTATGGCCTTGTGGCCTTGCCCCCTGGGGTGTCAATGCGAGGACCATCTCATCATCCGATATTATGTCATGGCTGTTCACTGTGACTTGACACTCAACTGGGAAATATATTGTTCTATAACCCTTACCATACTTCCTGTTTCTGTTCCTGTTCCTGTTCTGCTCTTTGTGTGTGTTGTATCGGAGCGGCCCGGAAGCTACCGATCGCCGGATTCCTCCTGCCTTTTTCTCATTCCACGGCTGTGCCCTTACTCTCTAAGCACCTTTCTGCTTTTCCAATCGATAGATTCCAGATACAAAGTAATCCCTTCTGGCATGATTGCTTGACATGTTGTCATTCAACACCACCACATCGTACGAAGTACTAGTACTAAGCCAACTAATTGTCCCGGCTGGCCGGTAGCAGCCAATCATGCGAAAGTGACCACGCACGGGGGCTGTCGATCCCCGATGATCGTGCATCGGCAAGCAATGAAGAAGGGACGGTAGGACAAGCCTCGGGCACACTCAACAGTCAGGTAGTACTTGGCTGTAGATAAACTGGGTTGTATTCCCGGATGTGCAGATGTGGGGAGACCCTTTCGAAATACCCTCCGACCCCGTGCCTCGTGCCCCTGCAGATCGATGCCATTGGAGATGCACCCGTGCTTCGTGTTCCTGCCGATGGGGAAGAGGGGTGGTGAATAATGGATAATGGAGTCCATGCAAATGGCTCGCTTAACTCATGAGATGGAGTCTTTTAATCAAAATAGATGGTTTCTCGACCACTTGACACCACCACGTGCAGACCCTGCAGGGGGAAGAGATGAGGAGAAAAGCTGTCCGAGTGACAGCTCCATATCCACCCTGACGATGATATAAGAAGGGCTCCCTTTCGGCCACCTTGCCAATAGCTTGTGTTATCACCAGGGTATTGCATTCTGCCTCTCCCTTCTGTACCTTCATCTCCAACTAGCTCACCATGCATCCCAGTGCGCTGGTCGGTCTGCTGGCCTTTGCTGCCGCTGCCTCGGCCATCCCAGCAAACCCCAGCCATCAGGCTCACTCCGACTCCGCCATCCAGAATCTCAAGTCCAAGATCAAGAACGTTGTCGTTCTGGTCATGGAAAACCGCTCCGTGGACAACCTGCTGGGAGGTCAGACCATCAAGGGCTTGGAGAACCCTATCAACAACGGCCCCTTCTGCAACCCCTACAACATCACCGATCTCTCCCAGGGCACCGTCTGCAGTGCAGCCAGAGACTATGACTCGGTCACAGATGATCCCGACCATGCGGTCTATGGCAACAACATCGAGTTCTATGGCACCTTCACTCCCGACAATGCGGCCATCGCCCAGGGCAAACTGACCCCCTCCCAGCAGGGGTTCGTCACCGAACAGCTGCGCCTGTACAGCGCCGATGCCAACCGCACCGAGCTGTCCGTGCAGGTCATGAACTATTACACTGAGCAGCAGGTGCCTGTGCTCACCGAGCTCGTCCAGAACTTTGTTGTCTTCAACCACTGGCACTCAGATGTCCCTGGCGTACGTATCTCCTGTTCATTTGTGAGCTGTAAATGGCAAGTTGCTAACCCCGATCCAGCCGACCAACCCCAACCGGGCTGCTCTCACCTCGGGTACCTCGTATGGTCATGGAACCAACGACGAGGCCTTTGATAACCACGCCTTTCCCCAGCGTTCCATCTTCCAGCAGCTGACTGAGACCGGCCACTCCTGGATCAACTACTGGGACACGGCTGGTGGCACGGGTCCCGATGCTGAGTTCTACAACTGGACCTACACCTCCAACAACACCAACAAGGTCAAGGCCCTGGAGAAGTTCTACACAGATGCCGCCGCTGGTGCCCTGCCGGAATTCAGCTACGTTAACCCCTCGTGCTGCGGTGTCGGCACCAACTCTATGCACCCCAGTGGTCTGATCTCCGACGGCGAGAAGCTGATCAAGAACGTCTACGACGCCCTGCGCGCCGGTCCCCAGTGGAACGAGACCCTCTTCATCCTGAGCTTCGACGAGACCGGTGGCTTCCATGATCATGTGCCTCCGCCCCTGGCTCCCCGGCCGGACAACCTCACCTACACGGCTACCACCCCGAATGGCAAGGACTATACCTTCAACTTCAACCGTCTGGGTGGTCGTATCCCCACTCTCCTGATCTCCCCCTGGGTGGGTAAGGGATATGTCGAGCAAAAGGGCACTAGCATCACCGGCGACTCCGTGTCCTACTCCGCCTCGTCAATCCTGCGCACCCTCGGCTACCTCTGGGACTTTGACCCATTCACCCCGCGGGTCGAGTATGCGCCATCTTTTGAGCATCTGGTGCAGACGCGATCCCGCGACAACACCCCGACTGCCCTGCCTAGTCCGGTTCCTTTTCGGAAGTAGACGGCAGACTGTTCTGCAGTGGTGGGGTGCAAGGAGATAATGTTCTGAGGAAAAGTAAATCTGAAAAGCTGAGCCTCGTCGGAGATGTGTACATTCTCGGATCTCTCCAGGCTTAGCATGGTACAGAATGAAGATAGATCCTGTATGATTGATGATAAAGACAATACATATATTCGTTATATACCCGTCTTCATGAGTGTCGTAGAACATTCCTTCGAATCTCTTCCAAGAGTTTTACTACTTGTAGTCCAAGGATGAGTTGTTGGCGAGTGATTTCAATTCACTGACATATCCTGCGATCGAAGATAGGAGTTGAATAAAATCCAGGCATTTCATTCCATCCTCTACATACAGAAGGTCTATATGACTCTTCAAGCGTCATTCATACTGGTCCACATCAACCCATCTTGATTGGATCCACTAGCCTCGGTCGCATCCTGGCTCTCGGAAACACGCTCACGCAGGAGCAGCTTGCACTCTAAATCCTACTTTATTTTCAGTTCATTCATGACCATCGTGTAAAAGGCAAAAAACTTACCATTGGCTGTGCTCATTACCTTGTCGAAGAAAGTCTGACTCGGTCGTTTCTTCAGCCCACCGACGCCTCCTGGCACCTCCAAGGTCGACTGACCTGCTGTCGAGGAAGATCTGCTGCCCTGGGTCGTCGACGAGGATCCAGCAAGAGAAGTAGTCCCTGCTGGAGGTTGAATAATAGGCGTGAGAACTGGACGAACCGCCGAAACCACCACAGGTGCATATTTCATCACCGCAGGCCCGATCTTCTGCACGATAAATTGGATCCGGGTGAAGAAGTCCTCTGTCTCGAGCTGCTCCGATGGCGTATTGCGGAGCACTTGCAGAGTCGCCCCGGCGAGCAGGGCACGACGGCCCAAGACCTTCAGGTACGGGTTCATTGGCTGTTCTTCAAAGGCAGTCCCAGTCGTCGGTACCATCTTACTAATGACAGATAGTCCAGTTTGAACGGCATTCGCCCCCTTGGAGGCAGCCGACAGCACTGAACCCAACATGCCCCAGAAGATCTCATCCTCCGTCTCGCGCTCCACCGACTTGAGCAGGTAGTGCGTGAACGAGTCATCTCGAAAATCCCTTGGGAGGCGGATTGGCTCCCGCCGACCGTACGATGTCGGATGGAATGTTTCCCTATCTGCCTCTGCACCCATTTGGGTGTAGATATCTTGCGAGAGATGCAACGCCGCCGGCAAAATGGCCGGCAAGATCGTAGGCGCCACGATATCAACATCTGCAGCTGCCTTCTTGTACTCCTCCATAATCCGCGTGCTGATACCGAGCTGTTTCATACGGTCGGCATCCGCCCGCAAGAAGGCCTGCAGCGCAGCCTCGGACAGAATGGCTTCTTCGGCCGTGCGAGACTGAGCGGATTCACCCGGATAGGCATCAGTAAACCCACTCTCGACACTCCGTTTGGCGGCCACGGAGATGGCAGTGCCAGCTAGAGCGGCAATCGGTCCTCCGATGGGACCCAAGAATGAACTGACCGTCTGCAGGGCGCCCGAGACCATTGGCGCGCCGACTTTGAGCACATCCTTCAGTTCGTCCCAGAAGTCGTCCTCCGCATCAGACTTCCTGTCCATGCTGTCCCCGCCCACACGGACGTACTTGACGCCGGCTTTAGTCGTCTGCACAGGATACTGTCTCTGGAGAACGGAGATGTATTCATGGTATGGATTCCCATACTCCCCTCCAATGGGGCTGGCCGAGTTGTTTCCAGCTCCCCCGTAGACATGAGCGCCGATGGAGGTCAGAGGCCGGTTCTGCACAAGGACTGGAGACCCTGATTGACCTAAGATGAGAGTTAGCAGGTAGAATGGATAAAATCCGCTTTGCATTGCACCTTTGTATGTATCGATGCGATACTCCAGCATCTGGTTCGCTGCCTTGCGCCGATCCCATTCGACAGTCTTGAATTCTTCATACATCTGTGCGCCAAACTCTCCATCCACCTGCATGTCACCGGGATATCCCACTACGCCAATGATATCCTTGCTGACCAAGGGGGTCTCAGTCGGCTTGAAAAGGGTGGTGACATTGGTGAACGGCCGATCGAGCTGGATAAAAGCGACGTCATGATGGCGGTTCACCCCAGATTGAAGCCATCCTTCGGTAGTCACGACCTGGACGCCGTGCCGGAACTGGACTTTGGGGCCTTTGATGGACCTTTTGCCATTGTAGCCAATGTACGCTTTAACCTCGATCACCCGACCGAATCCTTTGCCATTGTTCAGGCTCCAGTCAAAGGCACAATGACCAGCAGTCACAAGGGTGTCATCGCGAACAAGCCATCCCGTGCCCATGGCATGACGCTGGTCGTCGGGCTCTTGGCCTTCGTATCGCATGAATAGCTTAACGATGGCTAGTGTCTGTCAGTGGGATGAGAATCGTGTGCAGGGGTTTGGGATACTTACAGTGATACTTCCCCCCTGGGGCGAAGTGCTTGCGGTCCACCAGCTCACGGTAGTCTTCGAAGACGGCTTCATTACCTTCTTCATGTAGTCCGAAGAAGGACTGGACCGCTTCGCTGGTGGTTCTTGAGAGCGTCCACGTTCCAGCAGTGACAGACATGGCTGAAGATGTACGGCAGGGTGATGAATGTCAACAGATATTGTGTTGCCAATGTAGAAGGTAAGCTCTGCTGAGAACCAAAGACTTCATGGGATACAAGCTGCTATTTATATGCATGAATCCCTAGCGAGATGTATCTCGCTCATTTGTCAATGAAGACGGTAACCCCGAAGCACTGAGATATGAAAACGAGCGAGGCTGGCTGAATCCCACCTTTTGATGTGATTTCTGATGGAACTAGTGTTCTAAATATGCCATCGCGACCGAAATACAGGATACGAGTGGTTAGAGAGCTGCGCGAGGCAGTTACTGCCGAGGGTCATGTTGCCTTCGCTGTTAGCATCATTACTATCACATTGGTACTGTCATCGCGATTGGGAGACGATCCTTGCCCCGCGTCGTAATGGTCGTCCCTCGTGGCTCTGTCGTTCTCGATCAGGGCCGGATTGCCGAGGGAGTTTCCACCATCGATCACCAGCTGTGAGGATGTTCAGAAAAGGGATTGTGTTGAATTTTGCGGACGATATCAATAGTCTGAAGTATAATATTTTCTGTTATGTGCCTGCTAGAACACATCTGATTCAAGGCGTACACGTCCCTCGTCCTGTGGTCTTTTGAATGCGATGGAGTGTCCTGAGATGCTGGCGCACCGTCGGCTACTTTTACCGCACCCAATGACCCATATGGCCTGACCTGACCCAGTCAGTTCCTGCATGATGCTAAGTTCGAGTCTCTGGGTCTAGGACGGCCACACATGCCCTCGCGATTAAGGGCAGGCTTGTGGCACCCAATCGCACTCCCTTTAGACTGGATTTGAAATGTTTAAGCGACGGCAATGCCCTCCTTGGAGCTGAAGAATACGAGATTTCCCCGGATGCTTAAGACGCTAGAGAGTATACAATCATAATGGGCTACTTTCGAGTACTGCTCGGCAGCATACCGGCCAACCAATAACACTATAGTGGCGACAGAGTCGCCGAGACTACGTCTGCACTGCCTTCGGTTCTGGCTCATGCGCTGAGTTACTTGCAATGCCCCACTGCACATCCCCATAGCCATTAGCAGCGAGATAGTCCTTCCAAGCCTGGTCCTCATTGTCCAGTGCGTGATCCACATCCTGGAAAACAAACCAGGCCAAGAGCCCCCCAAGGACGGCGAACCCGGAGCCAATGAGAAACACGGCCTGCGTGCCGCGAAACTCATCGTCTCCCCAGCTAGCCAGGATAGGCTTGAAAACCGCCGTCCCAATGGCCGCCCCCGCCTTGCTCCATGCCGCTGCAAATCCCACGGCATGCCCGCGTATCGCGGTCGGGAAACTTTCACTGGCTGTCACAACAATCGTCGATCCGGGACCCACCTCTCCGAGCGTGAGGAAAACGCCATAGAGCACAATAAAGAGTGGCAGCGACTTTTCGATGGGTCCCAGCGCGCCACCTAGGATAAAGCCCAGGGCAGCCTGGAGAAAGTACCCGAGCGCCATGGTCCGCCGCCGCCCAATCCGGTCGGACAGAAAGCCCCCGATGAATGCCCCGGGGATGTAAAAACAGTTGATGAGCGTGCCCCAGGCCATTGTCAGTGCGAGAGAGGAGGTCGGGTTCACGCGACCGACAATTGTTGATGAAAATAGCCCAAACGGGTACGAGATGTAGTTATAACTGGCGATAGGATTAGAATCACAACGGACAATAGCGTATACTGCATTACTTACATGAACCAAGAGCCGCACGTGCCTAACAACGGACGCCAATAACGCTTTAGTGCCAGCCAGTAGGGCACTGTTTGCTTCTGCATCGCGCTCTTGCGATAAGCCGAGCTGACAGCCATTCGGTATCGAAACCAAAAGATGGAGAGCGGAGGAATTACCCCCAGCGCGAGTGAAATCCGCCAGACAGCTTCATAATGACGGACCTCCTGGTGAAAGCACAGAAGCAACAGCAGAGGGACTAGGGCACCAAAGGCGAACCCAAGGGAAGCCGACAGGTCAGCAATCATAGCAAAGATGAAGCCTCGTTTGTTTCGGACACCCAGATCTTCATCGGTGGCTTCTGCAGCACCCGCCCCGGCAACCGGATACTCCCTGGGGAACAAGTGAGTAACAGACCCATGATCGCTTGAGGTGATGATGGTCGAACTCACCCACCCGCGCCCACACCAGCGATTCCTCTTGTAATTATCAGCATCCAAAACATTCCATCTCGGTCAGTTCCGCTAGCACCAGCGCTCAAAGCGATCCCTAGGACGAGGATGACGGTGGTCAAGACCGCGCCGGTCTTGCGGCCCAATTTATCGGACAAGTATCCGAAGGACAACATGCCAATGATCATACCTACCATAAAGGCGTTGGACAAACGAGATGCGACAGCCGTGGTGAGAGCTTTTGGATAGATAACCTCCATGACCAATTCGAGGTTGCCGATGATGGATGCGTTGAAACCGTCAGAGCCAATGGCCAGACCGGAGAACACAATCATCAGTAAGACCGAGAGCTTGGAGGTCTTTGGACGGCCTTGATCTGGAGCGACATCTTCGGCGGCGTCCGGTGATATCTGCACCTGTGTCTGTTTGGCAGGCTGAGCTGCTTCCGTCGTCTGTACCGAGTCTTGATCCTCTTTGCGAGCCATCTCAGCGGTCAACCCTGCGTCTGCCTCAATGGCCTGGCAGTTTCCTAATCTCAACCCAATCGAACCATGACGAGGTGCGTGTATTTATCTCTGCTGGACCTTGCCTATCTGTCCCGTCTGTCGGCCGATCCGAGCCTCGTTTGTCCCGCAAGAGACTGGACTAACATTTCTGATAAGCCCAATGAAGAACAGCCTGGATGGCGGCGGACCAACCGCGACATTCGGCGATAAGCTGCGAGTCTCCAAGGAGATGCTAGAGAATCCAATCAAGGGAAATCCAACCGGGCGGGGATTCTCAGCGCATCTTCCCCTCTTTTTCAGACCTGCAGGCGCTCGGATCTCCCCCGACTCCTGCAGACGCATGGCGATAAATCCATTGTCTGGATTCCTTGAAACAATTTTCGTTATTCTTCCCCCTCTCGGCAGAATCATGCTGGACAAGCAGACCGAGTCTCTCCCACTGGCGGAGGAAAGACCGCTACTCCGTCAACCACCGCATCAATACCGGAGGTCTATTCTGCACCTTTTTACCAGCGCTGGTCTACTGTTGCTTAGCATCTACGCGCTCTTCCCAGTAAGTACGCGTCACCATTAGAATCGACGGCCGGGGTCTGACTCAAAGGCAGAGGCTGTCGCTCTTCAGCCCCTTCCAGCAACCGTCGTCGGTTACACCATATGAATCTTTCGAGCGATGTTCAATTGAGAATCTTCGAGAAACAGAGTACTATTTTCTGGATACCGCTGCGCCCATCTCAGTTGAGGAGTTCGATGAGCGCCGGAACCGCCTCGCGAGGGCTCTGATCGCCGATGGGGCAGACGCCTTTGTCGTGGAGCCGGGGTATACGTTCAAATACTATGCCAACGTGAGCCAGCCGGAATGGGAGGTCTGGGAGGTGGGCGCTCTTTCTCCCCAAGAACTCTTGTGTCTACTAATATCGCTCAGCCGGAGGAACGCCCTTTTCTTATGGTGGTGCAGCCTTATCGTCACTCGTCGGGCCTTGTTACCGCAAAGACAACATTCCTAGCCCCATCATTTGAGGCGGAGCGAGCCCGACTGCTAAACATGCCGTTTCTCGAGCCGATCGACATCATTCCTTGGGAGGAACACTGGAACCCATACGATACCTTGAAGGATTCTGTCATCTTCTCGGCACATGATCGAGCACCGCGACTCATGGTGGACGAGGAAATGAGGGACTTTATCCAACGGGGTCTCGGTCACTCAGGGTTCGAAATCGTCGGGCTGATGGGAGAAGTGGAGCGCGTCCGGCAGATCAAATCCAACACTGAGGTGGGGATTCTCCGCGCCGTGAATACCGGGACCGTGGAAGCCGTACGGCAGATGCGCAAATGTTCGTGATCCCCCACTCGGTCGCACTGTGGACGGACTGACACTAAGTAGGCCTCTACCCCGGTCTAACCGAGAGTGAGATCGCAAGGACCCTGGACAATACCCTTCGCTCGGCTGGGTTGGAGCCATTCTTTGATATTGTCTTGTTTGGTACGTGTCCGACCGCTGCAAAGGTGCAAGACTGACCGTGGAGGGTAGACGAGAATGCCGCCAACCCACATGGAGGCACCAACGGTTCGAAGGTGCTTGAGCCGGAAACTTTTGTTTTGATTGATGTAGGGTAAGTCGATACACAGGACAGTTGCCTGTCTCACTGTAGCTACTGCTGACCTCGGTCAGCGCCCATCTCCTTGGGTACTCATCGGATATCTGTCGAACCTTTTTCCCGCCGTTCCTTGAGCCACCGACACCGGATATGCCCGCCCCGACGCGTTTGAGAGACAAGCTGGAGGTATACCTGGATCCTCACCTGTACAAGCGAGATCAATTGGCTGACTGCTGTAGGTGTGGGACATTGTCTTTGAAGCTCAAACGCAATCCATCAGGCAGTTCCGGGTCGACGCCAGTGCTGCCAGCGTCGATATTGCTGCCCGGGAGGTGATCACGGATGCCGGGTACGGGGAGGCCTTCACCCATCGTGTTGGACACGGAATTGGAATCAAAGGTGAGTCGCCAGGGTCTGTGTGGAGGACCTGGAGGTTTGTCTGTGATATCGGGCTCATGCTGATGTTGCGAGATAGCCCACGAAAGCCCCTATCTGAACAAGGGCAACCATGCGACCCTCCTTCAAGCCGGCATGACGTTCACCTCGGAACCTGGGGTGTATCTGGTGGATCGATTCGGGGTACGGCACGAAGACATCTTTCTGGTGCGGGAGGGTGGGGAGGCAGAGCTGTTGACCGGTCGTCGAGCATCTGGGCCTTGGGACCCATAGGCATTCAGTGTATGTTGGTATATGCAATATATGAGCTCGCGGGTGGATTTTGATAAAGTAGATAGTAGGAAAAGGTTGTTGCCATTGGAGGAGAGGTAGTGGTGGTGGTGGTGATATTGCTGTGTTGGGGGTGTTGTGCTTCTCCAAAAGTGGAGGAGGCGGAGACCAATTGAGATCCAGGAAAGCCTCAGGCACCAGAGCACGGGACCCACGGCTTTCCCGGTCGGCATCTTCCCTTTCCCTCATCTACTACTGCTTTGCTTTCCTTCTGCTCTGCAGCACTTGAAAGATGAACCATTGTAAATATCCTGTTATTCGATACGCTACGAATGATATCTTCATAAAGCTCATTACTGTCCATCATTTGGATACTAGTCCGGATATTAAGACCGTCAGCCACTAGTACTACTTACTAACAGTACTATCATTACCACATCAGTTCTGGCCCCGCTGGACCTGAAATATATACAACAACCGCCTGAGTTCATGGAAGGCTAGTATTGAACCACTAGTACTCGACAGCACTACTTGCATTGAAAATACACATTGCTCGTGCTACTACAGAAGTCTTAACCCTTCAGTCACTTAATCCTCCTACTCCCAAGAATACTAATGCTATGGGCTGTTCATAGACACCGTTTCCTCAAATAACTACCACCATTTGGCTTGCATTACTCGGGATGAGTCAGCTGCCAGTCAGCTGAGAGCGGAAAATGGCGGCGGAAAAAGGAAACCAGCGACGGATTTGATCGGAAAACCGGGTTTTCCTCCCAGTAATAGCCGGTCAGTCTACCTGGACCATCCTGGACCATCCTACAGGCTAAGCAGATGAGCTGCAGCATCCGACTATCCGATTCGAAGGAGCATATGCGCGGGTTCTGAGATTGACTATCTACTTATATCCGCCCGTTAAAGCTGTGTGCGGAGCTTCCCCAACAGCAAGCGGAAATGACGGCCAGCGAGGAGGCATCCTCCCCCGCCACGCGCGCGAGAAAGATCCGAAAGGTGACCCGCGCCTGCGATGCCTGCAAGACCAAAAAGAAGGCTTGTACGGGCAATATCCCCTGTGGTCCCTGCTCCCGCCGTCACTTGGCGTGCACCTACGACTCCGCCTACAATCGGGGTGTGGCGCTCAGCCCTCCTCCCTCATCATCGCGTCCCAAGAACCATCGCCCTCTGCGGGAGCACGGCAGCTCACGCAGCAATCCAGATCCGGCTCCAGGTGTGATCCAGCCCCTGCAGTCTCCCTCTGTCCTTCGCTCAGTTACCGAGCATTCCCAGCCAGGCCTGCAGAGCAGCCCTGCATCGGGGCCAGGTACACTCCTCGAGTCTTCTATCCTCGATGCATCTGTTCGACGAGGCTCAGTAGACGGGACCGGTCAGTACTGGGGTCCGAGCTCAGCACACTCATTTCTGGGCAGGGTCGTGGAGGACTTGCATGCCAGTCCCTCCAAGCCTATTGCCCCGGCACAGGATCCCGATGCCTCAGCAACCGTTTCCATCTTCTCCTACGGTGATCGTGTAGTTCCCGAGGTTCAGTTATCAGATTTTGTCTGGCCAAGCCAGGCCAAAGCCAAAAGCTTGATCCGCCGATATTTCGAGTTTGCAGCACCGACATATCGCGTGCTTCATCAACCTACGCTTCGCACCCTGGTCCAGCGCTTGTACCAGGAGAATTCAGAGGGCAACCGGATCGGCAGCCAGCTCGATGTAGCATCCCAAGCCGTCTTGCTCTTACTCCTTAGTACTGCAGCCATGTTCCGCGTTGATGAGGACGGGCGAATGAGAGATGCCGACGAGGATGGCTGGCGCAGCAGCGAGCTTTACTACACGCAGGCAGAGCATCTGCTGTCGCTCGAGACGGGTGCCCCTACTCTGGCCTCTGTGCAAGCTCGTTTTTTGATGGTGCTTTATCTGCTGAGCTCCTCTCGAGCCCAGAAGGCGTGGTTCGTGTTTGGCACAACAGTCCAGCTGATGATGGCCCTTGGTTTGCACAATCGATGGGCGAGGAGGCACCATGAAGAAGAGGAGGATCTGGTGAAGCAGGAGTGTCAACGGCGCCTTGTATGGTGCTCTTACACTCTGGACAAGTATCTCAGTGTGATCCTTGGTCGACCGCGACTGTGGCATGATGAAGACTTGGACGAAGATCTTCCTACGCGCGTCAATGACGAAGACCTAACGACGCGGGAAAGGCGTTTGTCGAGACGTGACTGTGTGATGGATGCGCCAGTCTTTCATGCGACTTTGGCACAGATTCTCACCCAGGCGGCCAAGGAACCTTACGTTCTATCAGGCCTCTCCGATCGGACAGAGATTGAGACCATTCGAGGCCTGTGTGGCAAGGTCGCGGAATGGCAAGCGGAACTGCCTCCTTTTCTCTCAGGGGTCATCCAACCCAGTAGTTTGGTTCCGGTGTTTCGGCGCCAGTTGACAGTTCTGCAGCTGGCTCGTCATCATGCATTGATGTTCATCACGCGGCCTCTCCTATTATTGGATTATGGGCAAATGTGGCCTGAACACCGAAGCAGTTACCGATACCATCTGCATCTTTGTCTTACCGCAGCGCGAGAAGCCATAGAATTGATACTTAGCTTTGTGCGTGAGGATGAATTGTTCCCAGCATTTTGGTACTCACAGTACATTGCATTCAATGCTTTATCAATCATCTATCTATACCTGATCCAGGTCAGACGCAACCGTCTGCCTTCTGCT